TCCTGTAACAGAAATGTGCTGAACTTCGTTGAACTTGACCTGGACCAATGAGCATGGACTTGATCTCAAATTTTTCACTATTATAAAAATACCCTGCTACAAAAATCATATTAAAAACCCTCTTACTATCATAAAACGGAACTCTTAAGTTATTCCCTTAGGTCAGATTCCCCCAGGTGAAGTACTAGGTTCCCATTTCAGCTTTGACACCTGCAAATCTCCTGCCACTCAGCAACATGAACTCCACCTGCTGTGGACCGAGGACGCTTTTATGGATTTTCCCCCAATTAAAAAAAATTAAGATTGAATTCACATGAAGTTCAGTGTCTCTAGGTGTGCTGGCCAGTGTTTCTTCCTGGACCCGCAGCCTTGTTCCACGTTACCACCACTATCCAGAACATTTTCAAAGAGACTCCAGAGCCACTGGCAGTCATGCCCATTCCCCCTCCAAGCCCCTGGCAACCACTGACCACTTCCTGCCTCTGTGGATTTGGACAACCCATATATGGCGTCAAGTGGCCTTTTGTGACTGGCTTCTTTCATCCTGGTTTCAAGGTTCATCCGTGCCTTAGCACATGATCACACTTCTCTCTTTTTTCAGGGCCAAATAATGTTCCACTGTACAGATAGACATTTGGCTTATGTGCTCAGCAGATAATGGACATGTGGGTCGTTTCTACTTTTGATCTCTTGTGAAAAAGCTTGCTGTAGAGATCTTTTTGAGTTCTTGATGATGGGAAAGGAAAGAAAAGGCAAGAGTTTTTCCAGAAGCAGATGAGGCAGGTTTGAAAAAAAGAGACCAACATTACTGGGGAAATCTTCCCTGAGGCCAGTGTGCTGCAGGAGGGAAAGAGAAATGCACGAGGCGGAGGCAGGTGTGTGTGGGGGTGGGGTATGACCAGGTCTTGGTCCCTGTGCACTCCTGTGCTTCTGGACACACAACTCCACAAGGAAAAGCCGAATCCTGTAAGCTCTCTGAAACTGACAACAGTTTGTTGATCACGGCTACAAGGAGCGGCCCGCTGCAGGACTACGACCTCAGCATTTATTTTACGATGTTTTTCTCTGGGCTTTTCTTGCTGTTTCCCTTTCAGGTCACCAGGTTGTCCTAGAGGTTTATAAATACCATGCACTTCCTCTAGCAACTGACTGGCTGGCCCTGGTCACTACCCGGCTTCTTCTCCTTGACATCCCTCCCCAGTTCTCCGGTAGGTCTCTTGCTGCAATCCAGACGCTGCACCTGGTCCCAGTGAAATCCAGAGCCAAGGAGTCCCTCACTGGAGCCCCGGGGGCCGCGGTCAGTGTGATCTCACGCCAGGGACAGCAGCCAGCTGTGGGCAGAGCCCATCACCCCGGTAGCTGGGCTGTATTTTCTCCCACTGTGTTATGCGTGTTTAGCGTAGTTTATCTCATGTCCCTTCCCTCCTTCAGTGTTTTTGGGTACGCGGGTAGTTGTCACCTACAATTTAGTACATGGAGTACAAGAAAAAGAGACAGGGTCCTGGCCCCAAAGGAAAGGAACAGAGTGGGACTTGCCCTGCTGTCAATGACAAGTTCTGGTTGGCTCCTTTTGGGGGAGATTTCCTGTCCCACCAGGCAGGAGCACCGGCAGGTATCAGAAGCGTGATATTACATAGCAAGGCCTGGGCTCTAGGGGACTTCTTTTTGGTCACCCAACTTCTCCATTTGGAGACCCCTCTGCCGTGGGAGGCAGACAAGACCTCCTTCTTGCATCTCCCATGTGGCCAAAATGCCACCTGCCAGGCTTCTGGGTCCCTTGCAGCCAGGTATGTGCACGTGGTCAGGCCCTGCCCACAGCAAGCATCTGCCCCCCACTCTGACCAGATCTCAGAGAGGCCAGGACGCAGGGGCTGCGTCAGTTCATTTTAGTAGGGTGGCAGCTGCAGGGTCAGCTCCAGTATGTCCCTGGCAGTGGACTCTGGTGGCATCAGCAGCTCACACTGCACTCAGTGCTTAGGGGCAGTGGCAGTGGGGTGTTGGGGACGGGTCTGTATTGGGTCTCTGACGTGCCTGACCCATCCTCGCAGAGGTGCTCCCATTTTGTGTGAGGGGGAGAGGGCAGAGGGGAGAGTGCCTCCCCGCCTGGCTTCCATGGAGGGGATGTGAGTTACAGCCTCCAAGGTCCCCGATTTCTTTTCTGCAAAAAGATGGTGGCCTTGCTTACGGGGCCGCCTTGGGTGCTCACAACCCAGATGTGTCTGCACCAATAGTTCATGCCCCGACAGAGCTGCCCCAGACTCCCAAGACAGGGCACATGTTCCCTGACATTAGACTTCAGGCCCCAGGAACAATGTCGCCATCTTCCCCACACCTGGTCTCCTGCTTCATGGCACCCACAGCCAACTGGGTGCCCAACCTAGGAACTGGCCCTTGCCCCACTCCTCCCTGTGCGCACTGTCGGCGACATCGTCACTTGTTAAAGGTGCCCAGGCCGCGCCCACTGACCTGCAGGCTCAGCGCAGTCCTCTCTCCCTGGAGCTTTGACACCGGTCGGTCCTGACAGGTCCTACCTGGCTCTGCCTCTGGTCTGGACAGTCCTGCTGGAAGCCTTTGGGTAGCCTCGGGGGAACCCTGGAGCCTTCCTGACCTCAAGAGAAACCTGGAGGCTCCAGATCCAATCAGACAAGGAGGCAAGAATACTCGGGGATGAAGACAGACCCGTGTGGGACTGGGCAGGAGGGAGCAGGGCTCTGGGCTTCCCATTCCACCGTCTTTTTTTTTGTACGAGGGACTGAACCTGAGGTGGGGGCGGGTGCTTAACCACCAAGTCACATCCCCAGTCCTTTTTTAAAATTTTGAGACAGGGTCTTGCCAAGTTGCTCAGGGCCTTGCAAAGCTGCAAACTTGAGATCCTCCTGCCTCAGCCTCCCATCCTGGGGATTACAGGTGTGTGCGACTTGTGCCCAGCTGCCCTCATTCCATTCCTGTCTAAATGATCCGGGTACTAACAGGTGGGTGCCGACCTGTCAGTGGCTGTCAGTGCACACTCTTCAACGCAGAACCGAAGCGTTCTTGCTCCAGTGACAGAACGGCATGTTCCTGTGTGCTGGGTCTTGAGCATGGCAACCCTTCATGCCAGCCCTTCAGGACATCCAAGTCAGGGGACATGCAGGGGAGGTGCTAACTGCACCTTCATAACTTCCCCTACTTCAATACAACTCCTGAATTTTGGCTGTCTAGAGTGCCATCCAGAGTAAAGCCTACACCTCCTAACCTCTCTTACAATTAGCTGAGCCCATATAAGTTCTGCAGGTAAATCATGGTGGTATATGAAACCTTGAGGAAATATCCTTAAAGGGAAGGGAAGGAGTATTTTTTTTTTCTTATCCTGGCCAGAATGTGAATGTGATGACTAGAGCCAAAGCAGCCATTTTGGACTACGAGGTGGATGTTATATATTGGGGCCAGTGCACCAACCCAGTTGCTGGCTTGGGTACCCAGCAATTGTGAGCCACTGTACTACATCTGGACTGCTGGTGTTCACATGGCAGGTAAATAAACTACTTTGTTCCAGCCACCTTTACTTTTTGGATACAGAATCTGATACTTGGAAACAGGATACTATAAATAACATCTCAAATGTGGCAATGGCTTAGTGGAATTGGAAGGCCATCTTTTTTACATAATGGCTACAGGTTAGATGAAATTGTCACGTGTGTTATCTTAAAAGATGGATCACACACTGAGACCATAGCAATAGAAAAAGTAGGGGGCAAGTTCAAAAGTGTGACTGTTGCTCTTTGTTTTCTCAAGGTCCTATAAAGTTGAGTTGGAAGCTGGGTGCAGGGGTGCACACCTGTAATCCCCAGCAACTGAGGATGGCAAGTTTGAGGCCAGCCTCTGAAACTTGGCAAGACCCTCCATAAATGGGACCCTGTCTCAAAATAAAATAAAAATAAAAAGGACTGGGGATGCAGCTTGATGGTAAAGCACCCTTGGTGAGGTGGGCGGGGGAGGGGGGGGCTAAAAGCTAGCCAGATTATCAGCAGAGATGGAAGGGAATCCTGCTTTGCCCAGGAGACTGAATTTGTAGCCAGCACTGAAAAGTTGATTAAAATCTTCAAGTGTTGAAAACACCAACTGCTCTTGTCTTCCAAACTACAGCTATTAGGAACAGTGCCTTTAGCCAGGGTTGATGGCACAGGTCTGTAATACCAGTGACTTGGGAGGTTGAGGTAGGAGGATCTCAAGTTCAAGGCCAGCCTCAGCTACAGCAACTGAGTGAGACTCTGTTTCAAACAGAAAGGGCTGGAGATGTAGCTCAGTGGTAGAGCACTTGTCTAGCGTGTGCGAGGCCCTGGGTTTGACCCCCAGTACCAGGGGTGGTGGCGGGGGTGGGGAGGGAAGGGTGGCCTTGACTTGGGTACGAGCCAGGCTGGGCAGCAGCAGACTTCTCGGCCAGGATGTGTGAAGCAGGCAGCTGCAACGGTCAGATGGCAGGTACCGCCCACACTCCTAAGCTGGCAGTACTTAGGGTGTCTTCGCTTCCTGTGCAGGCGGGGAGGGGGGTCCTCTAACCACACTTCTGTTGCACATGGCTTCCTGGAGTGAGAACCATTCCCCCGCAGGCGGGGCCCGGTGAGTAAGTTCTGATCAATGGGATGTACAGCAGGTGACGGCGGCTGGGTGGCCACCTTGGACCTTGAGCAGCACTCTGGAAGGAACCTGGGACCGTGCTGATCATGGAGCCACCCTGGCAGCCCTGTGCAACGTAGGGTACACTTGGACTTGGTGTAAGCTACTGTTGTCACGAGAGAGGAACCTAATTCTGATCTAGAATTTGTCACCCAAGGTGAGGGCAGAGACAGGCACTGTGTGTGGGAGGTCATTTTCCTAACCAGGGAGGACAAGACAGGCTGAGAGCACCCTCTGCCCAAAGAGTGACAATAGGGGGCAACAAACAAACAAGTTCTGCAGGTCAATCATGGAAGCATTTGCAGAAATCAGACAAAGAATAAAGATGTCAACAGTCACGTTGCTGCATAGCTCGAACGCTTTTATATTGATCAAACAGCTTTCAGTAGAGTCGTCGCTGACAGTACAGGTCAGTATGAAAAACATTCCCAACTTACAGAAAAAAAAAATATTGCTGATCAATTAAGATGCTTTTCAAAACAACATGGCTTAACATGATCCTTTGGTTGCTCTGAACAGAACGGGAGCCACCAAGATGGCAGGAGAGCCGGGCATCTGGCGCCTGGGTTTGGTTGCCCAGGCTGAGGCCACAGATGCTTTGCCAGTGAAGCTGGGGCTGCTCTCGGCCTAGGATGACAGGCGAGAACCAGAGGGCGGCAACCCCCATCTCTACATCCGACAGTGCCAGGGTCTGAGGGACAACCTCGTGGGGACAAGTCACAGAAGTGGGACACACGTGTCTCTGGTAGCTACACATTTTGGTTAAAGAACAATTTCACTCCTCTGGAAGATCAGACTCTCAGGACGGCAAATCTTGAGCCCACCGTCCCCTTCTAACTCAAAGGAAACCGAGGGCCACTGTGCTCTGCCTGCGTCCAGGTCCGGACGGAGCCTGCGTCTCCCGATCCTCCCCCATGGCTGCTGCCTCTTCGCCACGAGGAGACCTGTTGCTTTCCCCAGATGATCACTTCTGAGGAAGGCAAAAAAGCCCAACCAGCAACAGAGGAGCAATAGCTTCTGCGCCGACCTAGAAGCGCATTTCAGTACGAAGCTAGGGGCTGGCGCAAGTTGGTATGGAGCCATCCTGACGTCCTACCTGCAACCAAAGCGATGTGGGTCTTTTCCTCTGGAGAGTCAAACCACCAAGTGCAGGTTCTAGAGTGACACCGATGAAGTTAGTAAAGCAGGCACATCAGTGGGTCTAATTAGGCTTTCCGGAAAGCTCCAGAACATAGGAAATAAATGTCTTCTCCATTCTCATCTAGTCAAATTTCCCAGGCCAAATATTTACCCTGATTCCCATGCTGCTCTGAGGAGGAAAATAAGGCCTCTTAAGAATAACTGCCGACGGGCGGAAGTGGGGAGGCTGGGAGCTCGAGCTGTGGATTTTACTTTGCCGTCTCTGCAGGCTGCACTTGCATGTGCTGCTTCTTTAGATCATTTTCTTGTCTTTAGATCATTTTCTTCAAAGTAGTTCATGAATTTTGTTCCTGGCAACGTGCCGGTCTGAGCTGCGCGCCTGCACGGTGGCCGAGAAAGGCTGGCTGCAACCTCCGGCTAGATTTCTAGAAATGTAGGGACCCAGGGTGGCAGCGTTTCTGCACTCATATTCAATGCTTGGTTTAAAAAACAATGGAACACAAATCTCGGAAGGTATTTAGGCTTCTCCAGGATGTTTGCGCACAGGGCGATGTTCCGTTTTATCCGGCGGCAACGGTGTGCTAAATATCCCGATGGCATTTAAATGTACCCTGCATGCCCTCCTTCTTTTTCTGTGTTTTTCTCAGAGAATTTTTCAGTGTCCAGATTGAATAGGTTGTTCCTTTGTAGTCTTGCTTTGTCCTTTTGGAAGAACTTTCTTTTTTCCCTTATAGAAAGCCACTGGGTTCCACTTGCTGGAGGTGTTTTGGGCTCATCACAGAGAAGGACACTTTTCCAAGTAACTCTTCCATCTAGGTGTCTGTTTACATTCCAACCAATGAAAATTCACACGGATGCAGGAGCTCATTCAAGGCTCACATTCAATCTGCAGTCCTGGGTACTGTCTCTCATTTCACAGATGAGAAAAACAGGGGAGCTAGAAGCACAGCTCCTAAGTGCCTAGACTGAGAGCGGGTCAGAGAGGGCTGAGTGGCAACAGAGCCAGGCTCCCGCCCTCAGCTCCACTTGCCGGGAGCTTCTTGTTCCACAGCACAGGGTTAGGGTGCTGGCGCCACCTCCTCCCACCCATGCCAGATAGCAGTAAAATATGCATGGGGAAGAGACAGGAAGGATGCAAGATAAAAGAATCTTTAGAAACCTGGTCCCCTATGGATAGGTCCCTATCCATCATGCAACCAGGTGAACAATTCCATTGGTCCAGGGTTTCCTGATATCAAAACGGCCTCATCTCTGTGGGCTACAATAGGAAAGCATCCTTTTTCTATAAACACCGTTAAGAAACTGGCTTAGCTTCCTCTTTTGGATACACAACAACTGCTATTTAAAAATACCACATTAAAATGTTTATGTAATTTATTTTCCTTAAATAGTAACTTGCTACAGTCCTGTCACAAATTAAAAAAAAAAAAAATTGAACACAGTATTCACAGAGGCAGAATTCTTTAGGACAATCAAAATCATGGGGTACTTAGAATAAATTAACATCAAATTGGGTTTATATTCAGATAGTCTGATCCTCTCCTCTGAAATGAAATGGAGACCGCTGTAACTGAGGGTGAATGCACGTTTGTTCTTCGGTACAGAGACTCATTCTTTATATAAACTCAACGGTAATTTGAATCGAGTCAGGAATCCTGAGCAACCTCCACGGGACGCACGTGCAGGCACACACGCCAACAGGGGCTCCTGGCAAGCAGGGTTTCCCGTGATCACTTACTACCAGGTCTTTTCTTAGAAGGGCCAAAGAATATTTCGATGCTATGATCCTGTCCCCCTCGGGGGAACATGTCTCTTCAAGTGTAAGAGCTTGGAGTAGCAGCAGTCCATGTACGAGATTCAGTAGTCAGGGGTCCCGGTCCTGGTGTCCGTGAATCCAGGATGAGGCAAGCAGAGGTGACACACACCTGCTTCTAACGCTAAGATGCGGGATCACGCCGAGCGTGGAGTTCTCAGTCTCGGTTGGAAATTCTCCTGCACGTAGGTTACTAATCTGGTTCAGGCACTGGATATGAACCTGAAGGGGGATGATGGAGGGGCAGGGGAGGGGTGCTCTGCAGATCAAAGATCGCAAGGGGCATGGAGCTGAGACAAAGGCAGGGCGCTGCTTGTCCTTCAGCCTGAATGGCCACCACCCGGTGTGTGGGACGTTCACCAGGGCTTCCTTGGCACCGGGGTGGGACTGTGCATTGCTCTAGCCCTGCCTGGATGCACAGGAAGCTCAGCCCTCGAGTCCTACCCAGATCAACACACAGAACACCATGCAGCCTTGAAGAACCATGCTGTCCAGCTTCTGGGGAGGTCAGGAGCACGGCTGCCAGCCCCTCTTGTATGCACAAGGGTGGCCAACAGTGGGGTGGTGATGTCTGGGGAGGAAGGTCCAAACTGGGATCCCTTGTTATTTCTCTCTGGGCCTAAAGGAAGCCACAGTTGCATGCATATCTACACCGGTTCCTGTGTACAGGATCCCTTTCCTATAAAATTTAAAGTGCCTGGGTTCAAATGTGCTCATTCCTTCCCCACAGCTGGCGGTTCCTCTCCCCGCCTCTGGAGGAAGGTGTGTCCTGCTCTCCTAGGGAAGATGCCCTCGGGAACGAGGGATGAACGATTCACAGTCGTCCTAACTGGGATCCAGCATCTGGACTAAGCCTTCTTCATATACGCGAAGAATCGCTTCACACACGAACTTGTACTGGCTCTGGAAAAGGAGAGAAGGGACGCTGTCAGGTCAGGAGCACCAGGAACCCCGTGCCACGCTGTGCAGGCTGACTCTCTGTGCTGTTCTCCACAGCTCCCTCGGCACCAACTCGGCAAAAGAGACACACCAGGGAGGTGTGCCACCTGATGAGGACAGCTGCCCCCAGAGGGGGAAGGGCAGAGGGTCCTCTGTGTGACAGAGGAGGCAGCAGTAGGTCTGGGAAAGAACTAAGGTCCCTGCAGGGTGGCCACTCTGCAAAAGTACAACCCTCGATGAGGAGGGCCGTTCTGAGAAGTGTAGTCGGGGTCCCAGAGTCCTGTCCTAGAATCCCTGGGTGTGTGGAGGAGGGAGGTGCTCAGGTGAGCCAGGATCTGGTTGTGGGGCTCCCCGCGTGGGGCAAAGAGTCTGGATTTGTCTTGAGAAGGAAAGCTACTGAGGATGTTTTGCAGGATATGGTTATTACAGGTGCCCCTCGGTGTTCATGGGAGATGGGATACAGGAACCCCTGGTGTATTTGCATGAAATCTGCACACATCTTCCCATATACTTTGAATCATCTCTAGATTCTTATAATGCTTAATGTAAAGCTACGTGAACAGCTGCTATACTGGACTGTTGAGGAGATAACGACAAGGAAAAAAGTCTGCGTGTGTCTGGCTGCAGGAGCAACTTTTCCTAATATTTCTGATCTGCAATCAGCTGAGTCCTTGGCTGCAGAGCCCATGGAAACCAAGGGCCGACTGCGCTAGCAAAGACCTCGGGCGCATTTTAAAGAAGCAGAGAAGGAAAAAAACCAGAGCTCTGAGATGGAGCATATCCAAGAAGGAAAGTCCCAAGAGGAAGGACTCTTTCTTCTTGACAGGCAATGAGGTCTTCTCCATCACAAAACAGGACAGAGAGTGGCCTTAAATACATGTCCACTTCTTTTCACATTTCCTGGGTACAAACTAATAAACCACAAGGGCTCACAATTGCGAGGGGACTCTCATAGCCGTCCAAGCTCCTGCCTTTGCTGACCCCCTCCTTCTCACTGCCTGGGGTTGTGCCTGAGGGGCCCTCCTCTAGGACTTTCCAAAGTCTGCTTTAGAAACTCTGTTGATGACAGGGCACTGGAGAAACCAGCCAGAGGCTGTGGGTATGGAGGGCAGTACACCTGGGAGGACAGATAGCTGTGGGCTTTGGGACTGTGAACACCCCCACTCCCCAAGCTGTGGGTAAGGGCTCAGTTCCCTTGACCCTCCGTCTCATGACTCATAAGGCCCTTCACCCAGGCCTGGCCAGGGCAGATGCTCAGGAAGTGCCGGCCACCATCAGGCTTTTTATTGCTGGTCTGTACTCACGGACGTCTGCACCATCATGGCGCGCTGCTCTCGCATTTTCCGGACAATATCCAGGGGGTAAACAGGCAAGTTTCTCTCAATTAAGCACATGGCTGTTTCCATAGTGACCAACACGCCAGTCCGACCTATTCCAGCACTGGGGAGGGAGAGGAGCAGAGACTCAAGATTTGCCCGAGGAACATTTCTGCACAGCCCAGCTACACCCTGATGCAGTGCCTGCGTTTACTCAGAAGGAGCCTGTTCGCTTGGCCACCAGGAATGCAAAGACACACTTAGGCAGGCTTCATGGCAGGGGCAAAGGCCATCTGAGGCTGGGCTCAGCTACTGGGGAGAAGCCCACTGCTGAGTGCAAAGTCCAATCCCTCTGCTATTTCCATCTGCTATGAAGGGCCCAGGGAGACACACTCAGGACAGACAGAGACGAGGGTAGGACTCTCCTCTTGGGCTCTGGGCTACACGTACATGCTTATGATCTTTTTTCCTGAAAATTCCAAATACTTTGAAACGGTGAAGAAAGAGAGCTTGGTGAGAACGCACAACGTGGTGGGCTTAGGGCAGTTTGGTGCCTGCCAATCTTCTCCAGGCCTTTCCCCAGGGGTATAATAAGGCAAAACAGTGGCAGTACCTGCAGTGAACTAAGATGGGCTCCCCGTCCACCCGCAGGGACCTCATGTAGGTCACAAACTCCAGAAAGTCCGAGGAGTCATCGGGCACACCGTGGTCGGGCCATGCGACATACTGGAGATGTGTCACCGTGTGCTCTTCCCCAGTCTGTGGAACATGCGGTGGCCTCGGTGAATCAGTCCTGGTGGTGGGCCCCGTCCCCAACACCGTCCAGGGGCCCCTGGGCCCAGTGTTCCGACTCCTACTGTGCACAGCTCTGCTGTGGCCCCTGCCACGTTCCACATCCACCCACTCTCCCAAGACACCCATCCTCTTCTCAGCTGAGCCCCCTCCTGGAGGGTGGCCTTCCAACTCTTTAGCCTACAGTGATTTCTTACATTAGCTCCAACTGTGCTTGCAATAGGCCCACACAGCTGGAGACACACACACACACACACACACACACACACACACACACACACTTTATAGCCCTGGGGATCAAACCCAGGGCTCTGAGCATGCTAAACCCACCACTCTACCACTGAATTACACCCTCAGCCCCTTTATATGTATTTCTTTTACGGTGGCACAATGCATACGAAGTTTAGCATTTAACCATTTTTAAATGTAAGGTCCAGGGGCAACAAGTTACACTTATTCACAATGTTGTGATACCATCACCACTATTTCCAGAACTTTCTTTATCACTCAAACATAAACTCTATACCCATTACACTATAACTCCCGATTGTTCTCTTTCCTTAAACTCCTGGCAACTATCATTTCCTTTCTATAAATCTGACTGTTCTAGGTATGTCACATAAATGGAATTTTCAGTTTCTGACCTTCTGTGACTGGTTTATTTCACTTAGCATAACATCCTTAAGGTTCATCTGACTTGTATTATGTGTTGAAATCCCCCTCCTCTTAAAGGCTGAGTACTATTCCACTGTGCAGATAGACCCATTTTGTGTACTCATTCATTACTTGATGGACACAGGGCTGCTTCCCCTGCTCAGCTGTTGTAAAAGGTGCCACAGTGCACCCTGGTACTGGCTCTAGGACTGGGAGTCTTGCACTGACTAATAGCTCCATCAGGTGAAAACAGGGCAGACCTGAAGGTGTGGCCCCAGCAGGGACCACAGTGGCTGCTGGCTTGCCCCCTGCCCCTCCACCTGCCTGCAGACCGCTGCTTACCTCTGTGTTTGTGACCAGCATTTCTCGGGACACATAGGCGATGGTGCAGTCCTCTGTCTGACACTGGATATGAAAGATGCCATGGTCCATGACGTCAGGGGGATCGGGCCAGTACTGGTGACATTTGGTCTGTAAGAAACCGAGTGCAGGTTAGCTTCCTCTGTGGGGTGTGTGCGGGAACAGCCCACGGGAGACAGGCTGGCTGGGCAGGCATCCCAGGGAGAGCTGGTGGGAGAAGAGGAGTCAGGCAAGGCCCATCTGCTGTGTGTGTTCTGGGATGGGGACACAGAGGAAGCTCCTTCCTCCTTTAGCAAGTGGGTGGGGGTCGGCAGGCCAGAGGCCAATCAGCCCAGGGACAGAGCCTGTAGGAAGACGACAAGAGACTTCTCTTCTCCAAGGTTCATTTGTTGAAAATGATCAGACACGGACCTGGGCTTATGAGCAACCTCCACCCAACCGCCCACCCCTCTCAGGCCTACCAGGTCTTGCAGGCCCCTTCCCAGCTCCAAGAGCCCCTGTAACCTCAGCCCTCTACCCTTGACCTTGCCTGTTAGAGGGGAGCCCCAGGCACAGTGGTCAGAGCACAGAGAGAGCTCCCATGGTTTCACAAACCCTCTCATTTTCACATTTTCCACTTGAGGGCTGGAGACAGCATCAGCCTGAGGACCTGGAGGACGGTGACAGCTGGAGAGGGTGTGCAGGGAGCTCAAGGTGGGGTTGTCCCACGGCGGTCCCTGTTACTGCTGCTATGGGTCTGCATCAACTGAGTAAAGGTGGCTCAGAGATGCTCTAGAAATCCAGATTAAGGAATCTCCAAGCTGAAATGAAGACCCCTTTTCACGTGGGGAGCATCTCCTGGTCCTCAAATACTTCCGAGATAATTCTCTGTGGCACTGAGACTCCAGAGCAAACTCGGATCCTGGCTCAGGGCAGTGACTTGCCAAGGTCACAGAGTGTCGTGACCCTGTTCAGCACAATCCCCAGGACACCACAGTGTCTCTCAAAACACCCATGGCTTCCCCACAGACTGACCGATGCCATCACCCCGCCACAAACCCTGCAGTGTCTTCCATATGCCATTGATGCCGCTGCCTCTGGCTTCTAGGTCAGACGCTGGGCTAAGCTGCCCCTCCCATCCTGGTTCCTGTCAGTCAAATTCTCACTCATTAAAAAAAAATTTGCCTCCAAGCCTAGAGTCGCACAGACTTAAGTAAAAACTACATTTGTTTAGAGCAGAAAGGTGGTATGATAATCCTGACGCAAGCAATTTGTCAGGAAACAGCTTTCCTGACCTTAGTTTCAAATATCACTGTGAATATCTGAAATTAAAATACACTGCTGTAAAGTTGCAGTTGAGAATTTACTTGGAAACAGTACACGTGGGTGTCTTGGTTAGGAACCGCTTTCCAACTTTCCTTAACCACAAAGGGCTGCTTGTGGGTAGAGAAGGGATTTAAGTCGCCCCCAAGGGCTCTGCATCTGCCTGCGTCCTCACCTGCACAGGAGGTGAGGCCCTGTGTTATAGTTCCCAAGGGTCCTGCCCGCAGGAAAACTGGGGGCAGATGCTCTTTGAAATAATCAACTTGTTCAAGGCAGAGCTACAAACACCTGAATTCCCAGAGGGTTTTTACAGTGCACCTGGCCAGGACTGGGTCTCTCTTTACTGCTGATCAAATTTAGATTTTGAGGTCTGTTTGGATGTATAGTAAGCACTGGGGTGCAGTGGAAGATCAAGACGTTTGTGGAGATCCAGGGTTTCAATCCTGGTTAATACGCTATACTAAGCAACTGTGTCATCCTGAGCAGGTTACTTAACTTCTTTGAGCCTTTCTATATGACTGTTGCTGGAGGGGATGCAGGGGATGCCCCAGGTTCCTATGAGGATGACCTGATATAAGCTCATTCATTCTCTGAGCCTCAGTTTACTCAGAGGTATTCACAGTTCTTTCTTTGGGGTTATTCTGAGGCCAAGATAAAATAATACTGTTAATAACATTAATAATCAATACTATCGTCTGAATGGTATGGGAGGGTGCTTTGCATGGATGTTATTTTATCTTGGCCTAGTGACAGCCGGAGGAAGGTACTATGAAGGCCTCTGTTTGCATGAGTAAACTGAAGCTCATGAGTCAATCAGTCAGGTCATCCACACAGGCACTGGGGTGAGGGAGTTTCACTCCAGGGCTACGAACTTGCTGTGGGATTAAACAGGTAACCCACACAAAGGGCTTGGAGGGACAATGGTCAGTGCAGCTGGTCGGCGGGCAATGGGGCTGCTGGAGACGAAGCCCCAGCTGGCTGCTGCCAGGATTCAGAGGCTCTTTCCTCTGGATTCAGAGGCTGAGCAGGGATCACTTCTAGCCCCGAGTGAGGCTTTGAGAAGAGGGTTCAGGAAGGGAAAACTGGCCACTGAAATGATTTTGGAAAAGAAGTGCCTGTCTGGACCAGAGGGGACATGCTGAAGACTGTGTTCCTGGAGGGGGTGGAGCGTTATCTTAGGAAGATGGACATGGGTTTGAGGAGAGAGGCATGGACCCAACTTTTATGATGAAGTTTGCTTTCTTGCTTAGTCAGTCAACACACATCCCTGCAGACGTGGTGATGAATGAGATGTGCTTGTCATTATCCTCAAGGTGCTCTCAAATCTGGCGTGAAGGTGTGAAGGAGAAAAGGCATAGAGAGAGGTAGGTCATGTGGGAGGTGATGTGGATGTCCTGGACAGGGGACAGGAGCTCAGTGCTGAAGGCCGAGGGTGTTCCCCAGTTGGGTGGGGCAGGCAGGGATCATCAGGGCAGAGGGCATGGGCTGCTCAAGGTAAAGAGGCCCCTGGTGTTGCCAGGGAACAGAAGACACCTGGATACGACCTCCCAGGAGGGACAAGCTGGTCTGGGGTGGGTGCTGGGGCGGCGGTGCTCTGAGCATCTGAGGGGCACCACGGGAAAACACAGGACCCGTGTGAACCAAGGCAAGGTCTGGCTGAAAGCTTGTCCCTGCCTGAGCTAGACTGCGGAAGACTTGGGACCAGCAGGAAGTCCCTGCTATTCCTGGGAGGGAGATGCAAAGGCTGTGACAGCAGGCAGGGGCCCTGGGGACACAGGACAGAGACTGGGGGTCATAAAGGTGGTCAGTGGTGGCAGCCCATGGTGAGTAGGTATGGGAAGGGATGCACCAGACTCCTGCTTGGGTGACCAGTGCCAAGTGCCTGGGATGGGGGCCAGGGGGACGGGCCATGCGTGTGCCTGCAGGTGTGCATTTGTAGGGTGGTGACTCTGGCACCATCTGTGAGGACACTCAGGTAGGCATGTCTTGTCAGTGAGCACAGGGACTTGGGGTTCAGGGGGTGGCAGGAGTCAGTGCCCAGCTCCATTTGCTGAACCACCCAGCAGGCAGGACAAAACCTGACCGAGAGGTTCCCAGGCAGAATCCTCCTGTCCCTGTGCACATGTCACCAGGCACAGTGTGGTTAACGGGTAACGAGTGCGTGGGAGCCCACAGAACTCTGTGCTGCTCCAAACCTCTTCCTGACACGTCACGGGATCCTCACAACAATCCCAGTCTCTACTGTTACTCGGATCAGCAGAACAACTTGCCTCTGGTACAGGGAGATGAAGGCAATGAGATCCAGAGTCACTAGCCACGCAGAACACCCACGACAGGCTTCATGCAACTCATTCTGAACCCTCCAAACAACCCAGAAGACAGGCATTGCCACTCCTTTCTAGTGACAAGGAAACCGAGGCTTTGAGTCCTGTCCACGTGTACCCCATTAAATGATGGTTCCAGAAGCCAAATGCCTCCACTGAGCCCAAAGCCTGTGCCTTAAGTGACTGGCAAATGAGAAGAAAACTTATCCATATTATTCACACGTAGATGGAAAAACGGATCTCTCCCCAAAAGAAATGCCTTATGGAAGGAAAATGAGGAAAAGTGACTTCCAGATGAAAAGCAATACCTCAAGGGGGAAACCCGAGCCTCAAGGGACAGCACAACGAAAACCACTCTGCATGAAACGGAAGAAAGGAGAAATGAAAGCGAGCCACAGGTGAGAGTCGGCCTGACCCCCAGGAGTTGGAGGTCGTGGCTCTGCACCCCCAGACGCAGAGGCAGCACGGGGGGCGTGGGGCCGCCAGCCAGCGCACACCTGCCCGAGTCCTACTCTACTGAATGCACCGCATGGGAGAAAAGAAGTAGGAGCTGATGGAAATCTCACCTTTTGGAAAAAAAGGGGCAAAGCTGCTCACCTGGAAGGACCAACTCCTGATGCAGAAGAACTGGGGGGTGTGACGAGGAGTCAGGGACAGTAGGACAAAGGGCTCGGGTCACCCAAGGGTTTTAACAGGAGAGGGGAAACACACCCTGGAGTTTGGAAGAACAGGTTTCTAACAACTGATCACCAAGAGAGTAAGTTCCCAGAGGTGCTGAGGGAACGCCAGGCCTCGCGGGAGACCGGGAAAGAGCCGGGAGCGGAATGGGTTCAGATGGCAGAAAGGGCTCAGAAACAAAGAAAGGTGCAGGTCACAGAGACCTCAGATGAGCTCGGGTTCAGAGCGGCCACCCACAACAGAGAGCAGAGGAGGGCAGGAACAAGGAGCAGGAGGGGCAGGACCTGGCAGAGTGGACAGAGGAGGGTGAGGCTTCTCGGAGGGCACAAAGGGACTGGCAGAGAAGGGAAGGAAGGGGCTGCCATCCAGGGCAGATCATCTGTCACTGCCCATTCCTGTGGGGGCTGCCTTATCTCCAAGGAGAAGAATGGCTGTCCAGCTGGGAAGGGCACGGTGGACTTTCAAGGGGAAAGAGAATCCTGACAGGCAAGAGGCCGGGGACAGCACCAAGCTGCCCAACTGGATTCTGATGCAGACTCTATGGAGCTGCATTATGAACTAAAGACCTCACGAGACAGCAGAGGGGCACCAGGCCCTGAGAAAATTGGGAGGATCAGGCACCCAGCAGACAGGACAGGGGACCAAAGGCAGGCAGATACAGCACAAAATGACAAGGCAAAAGACTTGATGTCCACTAGCTGTAAAATATCAGAATGGCCCAGATTAGAGCCTGCCAAGCGCAGGACGCCTCCCACCTTATGAGACTGGGTGTGCGTCAGTCACACACAGCTACATGCAGAGACGTGCTTTCTCACACGGTATTTCTGATTCTGCCATAAAGACAGACTCAATCCTTGTTGAAAACCACTTTAACATCACCTAATACTTTAATTCTATTTTTATAATAACCGAGAGAGCGCCTCAGATTCAGAGCTGAGGAAGGCAAGATTATTTAGAATTGGTGGTCTTCATATTTTTACACATACCTTTTATTTATGGCAAGTGATATGGACCAGCAGACTTCCCTTTAAGAAATATCTTTCAAAGGAAATTTATCAAAGTAGAAGAAAGTCAATTCGAAGAAAATGATAAATAATATCACAATATGGTCCTCATAATAGTCATTAATGTGGCACCAAAATTACTACTACTGCCAGCTAAGATTTATATAATATTTTCTGTGTGCCAAGCACTCTTACAAGAAGCTACTCATGTTAGCTTTCAATTCCTCCACAATCCTACAAGATTGTGGTTACTCCCATTTTACACAGTTATAAACCACACAGGAAGTGCAGAGCGAGAATTTAAACTCAAAAAGTATGGTTTTAGGGCTTCCTTACCCACTACACGACAGAACCAGCAAGCTGTAGGCACTTTAGAGAAACCGAGGGGATGGTACTGTGAGCTGGCTGGAGTTACCTGTTTTCAAAAAGGGTCCAAGTAATTTCTTATTAAGAACAAAAACAGGAGAGGTGTTGAGCTTTTCCTTGGTGAGCCCTTATTTTTTCAGGGCCCCGGCTTGGGGTGCCCTTCTAACCCATGGCCAGACATCTGGCTTCGGACTTTGCCTTCTCACCCCCTCCGGGCGGTGGAGGTGATGGGCTGGGAGGGCCAGAGCCAGGCTGGATTGACCCTCGGACCTGGCTAAGCTTCCCAGGCCCTCCCGGTGGTCCAGGAATCGGGCCAGGGGTTGGGCTAGGTTCGGAGGTGTGGGGGATTCCCTCGTGCCCTCCGCCCTATGAGTGCTGTGGAAGGATGGCATACTGTGGACCTCAGGTTGGAATGGGCCTGATCCCCCAACGGTGGCCTGGAGACCTCTCAACCTGAGATCGAGGTGGGAGCTGGGATGGAAGGCAACTCTGAGGAGGCCTCCCCCGAGCCTTGCATTGCTCACCCTGCTGTTGTGAAAGTGGAGAAGGAGAAGGTGGATCAAAACCATGAGGAGTCCCAAGATATCCAAGCCTTGCAGAAAGAACTCGAGGAATTTGCCAAGCTGCCGAAGCAGAAGAGGATCAACCTGGGACATACTCAGGCCGATGGGGCTCTCCCTGGGGGTTCTCTTTGGGAAGGTGTTCAGCCAAACGACCATCTGCCGCTTTGAGGCTCTGCAGCTCAGTTTCAAGAACATGTGCAAGCTGCGGCCCCTGCTGCAGAAGTGGGTGGAGGAAGCAGACAACAATGAGAACCTTCAGGAGATATGCTAAGCGGAGACCCTCCTGCAAGCCGGGAAGAGAAAGCGAACAAGTATCGAGAACCGAGTGAGAGGCAACCTGGAGAACATGTTCCTGCAGTGCCCAAAACCCACACTGCAGCAGATCAGCCACATTGCTGAACAGCTAGGGCTTGAGAAGGACGTGGTCCGAGTGTGGTTCTGTAACCAGTGCTAGAAGGGCAAACGATCAAGCACTGATTACTCCCAACAAGAGGATTTTGAGGCTGCAGCTTCTCCTTTCTCAGGGGGACCTGTATCCTTTCCTCTGGCCCCAGGGCCCCTCAGGCCCCCTCACCACACTCTACTACCCGGTTCCTTTTCCTGAGGGGGGAAGCCTTTCCCTCTGTCTCTGTCACCACTCTGGGCTCTCCCATGCATTCAAACTGAGGTACCTGCCTTTCCCAGGTACTTTCCCTTTCCAGAGGAGCGAGAGAGAGAACCTGGAGTCCGGACCAGGGCTTTTGGGATTAAGTTCTTCATTCACTAAGGAATTGGAAGCTCAAAGGGTGGGGTGAGGAGCTGGGGAACTGGTTGGAGGGAAGGTGAAGTTCAATCATGCTCTTGATTTTAATCCCCACATCACTCATACTTTGTTCTTAAATAAAGAAGCCTGGGACACAGTAGATAGATAAAAACAACAACAACAAAAAGAACAAAAACACAACCAGTGTGACTCGACGTCATGTACACCCAGAAGAATGAGAAGTTATGCCCCATTTATGTATGATGTGTCAACGTGCATTCTACTGCCATGTATAACTAATTAGAATAAATCTTAAAAAATTACAACTGAAACAAAAATAGATAAAAATGAAATTTCCAGACAAAAAGAGGAAGTGACGCCACAGAGCTGGCACATAAATCAGTCAAGCCTCAGATAGTCTCTCATGGTTACTGGGTAGAGGAGAAGCAAAAATGGGAGGGAACAAGAGCAGGGCTGTCAGGATTAACAACTGCTCCCCAAAGTGAGTTCTCAGTGCCTCTGAAGAACAGTATTCTAGAGGAAGTTTCCACTGTTTCTTGACTGTACGATTTTTCATCATTGACTTAGGGATGAGAGATTCTTACTAACTCTGTGATCAACAAGAGCTAAGAATCATAACTGATGCAAAGAAATAAGGATGCCCCCAAAAACCAGATCTGAGGGCTAAATACCAGACATTTGCTGGACACTTGAAACCTGCAGTTCTCTAAGCTAATAATATTGCATTGTCTTAGTTGTGACTAACCCTCCAAGGTGGGCATGATTATTATCTCCATCGTACATTTAGCAGAAGCCGAGGGTCTGAGAGGTTAAGTAACTTGCTCAAAAGGAACCTTGTTTTCATCCCAGTCTGGCTCTAGTGTGCTGGATAAAGGTTCCAAGAGCTAAGGGCCTAAGCGCTAAAGAGGAAAAAGAGGCTCAATGGCAATCGCAAGATAAAGTCCACATAATCTCTGCTGACCGTGGTTTAATGGAAGCCCAGGGTTATTTTCAGATATTGAAAAAGTTGATACAGAAAAGAAGAGGAACTTATTTTGTGTCTTCCATGTAGCAGAACCAATTGGGATGAAGGTTAAAAGAGATATCTTCATTGTGAGGGGGAATTTTTAAAAAGCAGAGCTGAACATCAACAGGATGGATCCTGGAAGTGTGCTAGTCGAGGTAGGGAGCAGTTTATCTAGGATCACATATGTAAAAGCCCTCTGCAATCCATGGGGCTCCATGGAATTAGTAGAAATTCTTATTTTGTTTCAGGTGAGAAAGTAGACTTATCTCCTCAAGAATAGTAGCCTTATCAATTCCTAGGTATTCTCAATTTCAATGTGGATTATTTTGGCTTTGTGGCTCAGCGGTAGAGCGCTCGCCTAGCATGTGCGAGGCCCTGGGTTTGATCCTCAGCACCACATACAAATAAAAAAGATATTATAAAAAAAAGTAATTTCTATTTGATTTTGGAATGTGTTTCTGAATATTTCATAAAGAAGACATCCAGATGTATCTACAAGTTAAGGAAGCATGATAGGAGTATCACTTATATACTGACTTCTGTTACAGGATCATGGAACTGTTTCTATGGAAAATGGTACAATAATATAATTTCTCCTATTCACAGCCACCATTTACCTGGTACACATTGCCCTTTCAAAATGAGCACTTGTCCCAGCCAACACAGGGGCTCTGAGAATATAGGGTAAGGCAAGAGGAACTGTCTTCTGGTTTGACATATTGAATCCATGCTGGGAGTGGGCAGGAGTGGGGCTGAGCTTCCCATTCTTGGGGGTGCCATTTGGTGGAACCAGAGAGATCTATGGGGCATGAAGGGGCTAGACCAGGAGGCCACTTCCAGCCCAAGATTTATGCTCCATACAACATGATGCGACACTGCACACATCTGAATTGGAAGCTGATCTACTTACCCGCCCTCGCTCTGTGAGAGTTGTCAACATGACAATTAGAGATAACTTCTGATCCCAGACGACTTGCCAAAATTGTGCACAGGTATGTGGCAGGGGTCCCTGAGTGGCAATGTACTTGTTCACAAGGTTAGCAGCAGGAATTTCCATCTAGCAAGAGATTGGTAAGGGATTACAATCTGTGACTTCCACAAGGTGGACAGGGTTCTGCATTTTAAACTCTTCTACTTGCGGATATCACATCAAACCATTATATTAATCCACAGTGAATAAGAAAAATCAAAGAAAGTTATTGCTAAAAATCCTTGAAAAAGATTTGATGATAACGCCACCATTAATATCTTCAAGATTAAAGTGGATGACACTCTGTTGGCAAAACCCAGAAATGTCCCTTCAACATGGAGTTTAAGTGACTTTCATTGCTTTCTACTAAATATAACTACTACTCATTATCTTCATTTTCAGCAGGACACATCGATCCTCACCAAGTTTTCCCATGAAGGAATTTCTATCAGAATTATTTCATTTAATTGTTTTTCAAATAGCTTTAATTAGGCTACCCTTTATGTGCCATGAAATTAAGAGCAGGAAATATTTATTTTTATTCAAAGCAGACAAGAGTTGGTGGCATTGATAATACAGGTTCATACCGCCAACTCTTGTCACACTTTGCTTTCTGCATGACTTCCAACGATAATGTTATTAAGTCGGTCCATCTTTTTTTTTTAATTATTTTTTTAGTTGTAGATGGACACAATACCTTTATTTTATTTACTTATTTTTACGTGGTGCTGAGGATCGAACCCAGGGCTTCACACGTGCTAGGTGAACGCTCTACCACTGAGCCCCAGCCCCAGCCCAAGTTGGTCCATCTTGACCAACATTTTCCCATGCTGCTCCTCTTTCATTTTGCCCTCTGCGCTGAGTCTTCTCTATGCAATAACACTCAGAGCCCTCTGTGCTTTGGACTGGCAACTTCATTCATTCACTCTTAGGTTGGGAAGGTAAATTAAGGATCCCAATTCATGATTGGGTTAGTGCTTGGGCTCATGGCTTCCTTGACACTTGATAAAACAAAGAGACTGGATTCTGTGGGGTGGCCACCCATTTCTGATTCTCAGCTCTTAAGACATCAAGAATGTTGAAGTGAGGGCTTATGAATCCCATAGATGCTTTGGAATAAATAGGATCAATGATCAGACCAAATTTTACTAGGACAGTTTTATTTTTTTAAAATATTTACGTTTTAGTTGTAGGTGGACACAATATGTTTATTTCATTTTTTTTTTTTTAATGTGGTTCTGAGGATTGAACCCAGTTCCTCACGTGTACTAGGCAAGCACTCTACCTCTGAGCCACAACCCCAGCTCCAGGACAGTTCTTGATCACTTCTATAACCTGAGACTTAGTCTGAAAAGTCATGTTTGTTTAGGTCAGGGTTTGGCAGATGATGGCTTGAGGGTCAAATCTGCTGGCCATAAGCTAAGAGTAGTTTTCAACATTTTTAGATGGTAGCATCTTAAATGCAAAGACCAAATTCTGACTCTGTATAGAAAAAGTGTGCTGACAATGGATTTAGATGGAGAAACTGAAGTTCAGAGAGACCAAGTAAATTGCCCAAAATGCACTTTCAGAGTAAAAATGAATGCTATCCTCAAAACATATGTACCTTTTCCTTTTCCTCTTTTGGGTCTTAGGTACAGAAGAGGTATTGTTTTTCTTATATTTAGGCAGGATGACACTAATAATGTGGGGAAAACCACATCAAGTAACAAACATACCATCAGCAAAACCAAATACCTAAGCAAGCAGCAAATACAGAGGTGTGTGGACAATGGAATTAGAAACACTGAAGGCCTCCTGCCCTTATCTCATTTTGCGGCTTTTCAAATTATTCAGTCTCTCTGAACCTTAGTTTTCTCCTCTGTAAAACTGAGACCCCTCTTGCCTTCCCTCACATGGCTGCTGAGCTGAAATGAGGCCGTGAACAGGAGAGCACTGTCAACTGCCAAGCACCCCGCAGGCCACCCCCATCCTTGTTAGAGTGATGAACGCGCTGTATCTTACCACCCGGCTTCCTAACTTACATTCACATAACTTGCATTAATATAATCTTCATTTCCTTGCAATAATACCCGGGTGGTGTCATCTGTGGGAGAGAAAAATTTACCGATTATTCTGAGTGTTATTTTTATCATCCCAAGTAAACAAGAGTTCAGTTCCCAGCCCCATCTGCAGCTCTTGCCTCATTAGCATAAACACTATTCCCCAACTGTTCAGAGTCTGAAATGGCTGCAATAAAGACGGTGGTGTTTACAGACACACTGAAAATCGCTCCAGAATACCAGACAATCTGTTTTAAAAAGGGAAACATTATCTCAGTGTAGGGGGGGAAGGAGGCATTCATGCCGGATACTCACAAGGCAGCACATCTTTATATCGGTTTTTGTCCAAATTTTGAGGCAGCTTTGCAAATGTGATGGCCAAACCTGGCTTCTTTCGGTAGAGTTGCTAAATGACAAAGAGAGGCCAAAAAAAAAAAAAAAAAAAAAAAAAGAAAAAAGGAAAAAAAAATCACTGTGAAAAAACAGCTAAGGAAAGTAGGATGTGAAAATATACTTTAACCATACATGGCTCCAAAATCTTAACATTTTAAAGTGATTATATGTTGTTAACATATTAAGGGAAAAAATCTTCCCAAAAAGAAATTCTACAGTTCTAGGAGAAACTGACTAAATCCTTTACTAATGTTTTACATTTGAGGATCTTTGGTGGGGGGGAAGTCACAGGTGGGGATCTGAGTCACAAATAATGGGTCCTGATAACTTTTTTTTCCCCCTTGGCAATTTGACACATGCTAAAAGCAAATAGTGGTGGTGGTGGGATGTATGTGTGTGGGGGAATTTTGACTCAAAATTAATAAAGATCACCTGAATTAGTTTTGAGCCCCATTTCCCTCCAACTCAATGAACCACATCTTTTGCTTAAGAGCCAGAGCGTGTCATTCATCATTTTAGAAGTTTATTTCCAAAGTAAAAACATTTGTCTGACATACAGTAACTCTGTTTAAAGCGCTATTTCCTTATACATGCAATCACTACCAAAAATTTAAAATAAATTGTGTATCTACAAGCACATATCAAATAGGTTAATATAGTGCATGACATGATTTCCCCACAGCCCTCTGGGAGTTACTACAATTATTCTTATTTTGCAAGTGACAGTCAGAGGATAGATGCTTTGCCCAAGATAACAAATAAGAGGATGAACACATCTGTTGTCAATACTTATGTTTTCTTTTCTATACAGCAGTTTCCCCCACTTGAACAACTAAAGTTAAGCCCTTTGTTCTATGGAAATAATTTTTTCAATGTTGGAAGTGTTAATTTTTCTGTTTTTTTTTTTTTTAATTAAATTTGGGATATTCAGGCTGGTTTAAAGAAAAAAATCTTATCAGTAATTTCACAACTCTGAGATGACCTTTTCATTTATCTTCTCCAGATTATTGTTTTCTCCTCACATATGTACATGAACATATGAACATACCTAAGTATGCAATGTAAACATATACAATACATATATATATATATACACACTACATTTTTAAAGACAAAAAATATCGATATTTTTTCATACTATATTCAATGGAAACCAAGCACCTTAAAGGAAGGCAGTAGGTATTTCTCAAAAAAGTTGCAAAGTCAATGTTCTATGAATCTCCAACAAGACAGGTCTTCCCAGAGTTTAATTTTGATCAGCTAAGTATTTCTCAGGCTAATTTAGACATGAAGGACCCAGCATCCTACTGGATGGGAGGGGGGAGTTCTGGAAACACTGCCCTAATTTTAAAGCCTGTCCCCTTATTTACTAGATAGTATCCATTTCTCCATGTCATTAGATATTCTCTATAAAGATGAAACTTAATAATCTAGTTTACTATGTTTATTTTTGCAAGCTGTATTGTTTAGCAAACTGGCTTCTCTCTTACTCTGCTTTGCTCTTATTAAACTACACAGAATTTATTAGAAGAGAATTAACATGGAGACCTGGGGTCATAAGAATAGCTATATTTTATATATTTACTGACTATTTTGAATTTCTGAATTCTACAAGAGCTTGGCTACTGATCTGATCACCTGTATGGTTTCAGTTCATAACAATCAAGTAGCTGCTGAATTACTCCTTAAACATCTGCAGGCTTTAAAGGACTCTGTGAGTTCATTCTAGAAATAAAGTCATGATTTATTGGAGGTTTTAGTTTGACTCTGGCAGAAGGAGGACATCTGAGTGGGTCAAATTTATCTAAGTGGCATTTTGGTTCTAACTGATTAAATGTATGAAGGGAAATCCAATTATGTGAATGCAACCAGTAAATCTAACCTGGAGGTAAAAAGATATATACCTTCTATGTAACAAAGATATACATGCAGTCACCTTGAGAAAGTCTGGCAGACAAACAGATCTAGTAAAATGCTTTAATTATATGATTTAAATGTATCTCAGTAGTAGGACTATAGAACACTAAAAATTTTAAAGATGTACTATGGCAGAGAAACATTTTAAAATGTGTATGCTCTGGGATTTATCCAACAAGAATTCATAAAGATTCATGTCAGAGAAGTTTACCTGCAGCAGAATATTTATTCATGGAAAACCAGAAAACGGTAACAACCCGAATATTCCCCAAGAAGGGGAAGTTCTGACTTAAATTACAGCACAGTCAGACCTTAAAATTCTGTACAAAAAATAAAAAGCTAAAAGTCCAGATTTGGAAGAACATCCCTTCATCTACTTTTAAATGAAAATTGTGTATTAAAAAAAAAAAAACAACATACACGATGGTGATTCTAAACAGCAGCACATACAGAGTGTATACGGGGTGTATAACACACAATCCTGTGTGTGTGCACTTGTGTATGTGTGTGTACCATACATGAGCACGAACACAGGAACAGGTATGGATGGATGCACACCAAATTGTTATCTGTAACTTACAACAAAGAAAAAACTGAATGGGATGGGAGTTGGGAGACTTTTTTACTTGGGCTATTTCTGAATGATGATAATGAGAATGATTATTTTTTTAAATTCATGACTGGAGTGAGGGCGAAAAAAAGAGAACAAATCTATTTATAAAATACAAAATTTTCCGGGAAAGCTGGGTGAGCAAATCAAAAGCCAAGACTTCTTTGGATTTAGGAAGTCCAAGAAAGCCCATCGTGTTTACATCTGCTCTGCAAAGGTTGGCGCTGAACAGGACTGACGCCATTCAGGGGAACAGGATTCAAGCGCATAGTCTCAGGCGTGTGAAAAGGTGGTTTTCAAGGTCCTTCTCTGCCCATGGGCTGCTGGGTCAGCTGGGTGTACGAACTTGCCCTGAGACGGGGCTGACAAGAGTGGAGTGGGACGTGCTGGGAACACGGGCATGTCAGGGACGGAGCAGTGACTAAGGCGTTAGGACACTGGCCAGATTTGAGACAAGACCCATAAAGTAACTATTCCCTGGAAAAAAACAGCATTTGTTTCCATTATTCCCAGGCTGCAGGTGTGTAAGGCAGACAAGATCTCCCAGTTGTAGATCCCCTAAATTCTGTCATCTTAAAATGGGAGCAGCCAGGGGTTGGGAGGCAGGGTCATGGGGACAAGCACTTAAGAAATCACTTGGTTTTATGAATAATTTTTTTTTTTTTGGTACCAAGGATTGAATCCAGGGGTGCTTTACACACTGAGTCACATCACCAGTCTTTTTATATTTTTGAGACAAGATCTCACTAAATTGCTTAGGCCCTGGCTAAATTGCTGAGGCTGGCCTCGAACTAGCAATCCTTTTGCCTCAGACTCCTGAGTCGCTGGGATTACAGGTGTGCACCACCATGCCCTGCTGAAAATATGAATTTTTATGACCTAAAATGCATGTTCTCACCTATCAGAGTGAAGTTCTAAGAAGCTCTGAAACTAAGGGTAAATTATGAAAATCTTGGGCCGAGAGGGGTTGCTAAGAAACAGCAGTATTTAAACTGTAATATCAGCATCTCCAGCTCTGGCCTCTGAAGACAAACAGCTGAGCAGAGGACCTGGCGCTGTCTGGCGCTACACCGCCAGACACTGGCGGGGTGGACCGGAAGGCCTGCTTTGGAGTTTAGACATCTCTGCTTTGCGCACGGTTTCCAACATCAGAGAGAGGCCCCAGGGGCTCCCATCCCTTAGCTCCTCTCACTGAGCCAAAGCCGTGAGATCCAGTCGCACCCTGGACAAGGGCTGCAGACACGACCAGCTCCAACAGGGACTGCGGCAGGGTGGGACCCGGCAAGCAAAGGACACCTCCACCAACCCCAGAACAAAGCGGGCTTCTCGCTGGATTCTGGAAGGCTGAGAACTGGAGAAGGGGGAGGCAGGAGAACAAAGGGAGGGGGCCGAGGGGACCTCGGGCAAGGGGAGCGCAAGCAGCAAGAACAGTCCCTTCCATGCCCCACAAGAGCCAGAGCCAGCTTCAGCCGTGACTGGGACTCCCAGTGACTGCCCCCTGAATCAACTACGCCATTATCTCTGTGGGAAGCCTGCTTGTTCTGTTCACCGCCATGAGCCCCGAGGGCAGCACTGTGCCTGGCACACAGGAGGTGTTGGGCAGTGGGAAGGGAGCATGGGGTCTGTGGCTTTAAAGGGGGTGCAAACCACGTGAACGAAGCTGACAAAAGATGGCAGTTGTGGCTTTCTTGGACGTGGTGCTGTGGAACAGAGCTCAGGGCACTCACCTTTCACAAAGGCCCCAGGAGGTGTCTTCCGGGTGCCACTGGATGGACGAGCTAACAACTCACGACTCCCAGGGAGCCTGTCCACACTGGGGACATCCCCTTTCTTCATATCGACTCAGCCAGAGGTCTCATGGTCTCAAGGGCACCTGCAGCCTCTACCTACTGTCCAGGTGTGCTGCGCTGACATGGTTGTAGTTATTTGGGGATTTCATTATAGTTTGGGTATTAAATGTCCCCTGAAGGCTCCTATGCTAAAAGCTCCGTCGTTTTCTAGCACCAAAACCGCAAGTCAAGCTAAACTATAAACCTTCCCTCCTTTTAGGTGGACTTTGTCATAGCAAAAATGGACACTTAACAGAGACCTTTGATAGTAGTGGTCTTTCAACGTCCAGTCCCAGATGTACGTTCTACTGTTGGCGTACTCCCAAGTACACTGGTGGCGTCTCCTTCACATACACACACCAACGGGGCAAGTCCTAGCACGTGACATGGATGCACAGAATGCACACAGGGTCGTTCAAGGGCCCCTGTGTGTATCTATCTATTCCAGACACACTAAATTGATACTTTTTTAAAAAATGAGAAAAAAATGGCAAACCATTTTTTTTTCTTTTCCTGTGTGTGTGTGTGTGTGTGTGTGTGTGCGTGGTGCTGGGGATTGAACCCAGGACCTTGTGCAGGCAAGGCAAACACTCTACCAACGGAGCTATGTCCCCAGGCCAGGAAAAACATTTAAAAAATATTTTTGGTGAGGGGTACTGGATATTGAACCCAGCGTGTTTACCACTTCCTCAGCCCTTTTTGTTTTGATAGAGACTCTCTCTAAGCTGCCCATGTAGGCCTCAAATTTGCCATCTTCCTGCCTTAGCCTCCTGAGTAGCTTACAAGTGTGCACCACCACACCTGGCTTTATGTGCACTCTGACGGGTGGGCTCTACTCTGGAAGGTACCATTGCCCTCATTAATTTTGACCTGTGTTGATTTAAACCTCTCACAGTTTTCGGGTAGTTCCTACAGTGGCAAGGTAGGTGCCAATTAAGGAAGCACGGGTCGGAAAAGAGAAGAATGGGTTTTGGTAAGGATGGACGATGCTGAAGTGGAGGGGTGAGGGTACACGAGTGGACAGGACACTGGGTGTCCTGTGGCCGCTGCTCTAATCCGTCAATCTGGGGAGGAGGCATTCCCTTGCAGTACTCTTCATTTTCTATCAGAAGGAGTCTTCAAAGAGGTCTTAACTAAGAGTGGGCAAGGAGGCAGTTGCCCGTCACGTGGTCCCTGGATGGCATGAACACAGGGCTCTTTTGTTTGCTGGAAAGCTGGTTCTCAAACAATGGACAGCTGAGCATCAGCACTGAGTTTTTATCCATGAAGCCATAAACCAAACGCATAGCCTTGCCCTGGCTTCAACAGAACTCCGACTCGGGGCAGTGTGGGTGAAGCCACAAGCTACTCTTGGGAGGGAAGGGAGGGAGGGAGGAAGGAAGCTGTGGCGAACGGGTACAGTCCTCAAGGAGGACAGCGTCCTGGATGTGCTGCCGACAAGGACCTGGCAAGAACCATCCTACAGAGAAGAAAACCCGATCTTGGCTGAACAAAATACAGCATTTGAGGCCAGTCACAAATGCTGCCCAACTGCCCAGTGTCACGATAGGGGACGGACAGCTCTGGAGGTTGGGTGGAGCTGGGACACGCCTGTCAGTGGTGAACTGCTGCCACCAGGGGACTAGAGCTGTTTGTTTGTAGGTAGGTAAGTGTTTGAGCCAGCGTCTCACTCTGCTGCCCAGGCTGGTCTCGAACTCTGGGATCCTCCTGCCACAGCCTCTTCAGTGGCCGGGACAACAGGTATGCACCCCCATACCCAGGTGGATTTTTTTAAAATAAATCATAATTCTGGCTCTATCTCTGACTAGGTATGTGACACCAGACAACCTCTTTGCCTCTCCCTCTCCTGATTCTGATCCTGGGCTTGTGGCTGAGTGGTAGAGTACGTACCAGCTCTCGCACCAAAAATAAAATAAATAAAAAATCCTAATAACTCTGGCTGTCACCTGTTTCACAGAACTGCTGTGAGTACTGGAACAACATATGTGAAATACACGTGGTAGATCCCAGAGTACTCCAGAATGTTGATTATTATTAAGTGTGATTTTGTTACAGCTGGGACCAAATGCTTTCTGGAACACATATGTAATTGTTTACTGAAAGCCATGGGAGGGACGAGGGAATTCCCTCAATTAAAAAAAAAAAAAAAGAAGAAGAAGAAAGAAAGCTTCAGAGCAAGCTTCCAGGAAGCCAGTGCTCCAGGAGGGACTCTGTCTGCTGCCCCAGGCAGGTGATTTGTGTCACAGAGTGGGTGAGGAGGACACCTGCCCATGGACCCTGCCAGCGATCAGCCCCACTTCCTGCTTCTGGGCACAGAGCACATCAGTCAAGCTGCCTGTATGCCCATGGCACTGGAGGAAGAGTAATGGGGACATGGCCATGTTGTCTGGGCACAACAGGCAGGACTTGCAGGGTTCCAAGCTCAGAGCCCTCTGACCACTTCTTGTACAGACTGGGCATGCTCTTGGAGCCTCTCTGTTTACAAATAATAATAGCTGTTGTTACTTTTAAAAAATTTTTAATTAAAAAATATTTTTAGTTATAGTTGGACATAATACATTTATTTTATTTATTTATTTTTATGTGGTGTTGAGGATCGAACCCAGCGCCTGGCACGGGCTAGGCGAGCACTCTACCGCTGAGCCACAACCCCAGCCCCTGTGGTTACTTTTTATGGTGTCCTGATCATGCACCAAGCAATGAATTAAGTGTTTATCTCATCTACTTCTTCCAGTTCAACTCACGAGACGACCTACCCATAGATGAGGACATAGAGGCCTCAGAGGTCAAGGGAAGGGAGTAAGGGGTAAAGCCAGGATTTAAAGTGACTCTGGCTCTCTGTGACCTTCGCTAGGCTCTGTACCCTAGAAACAGCCCTCAACGGGCCAAAGCATCTTTTAATTTCCAACGGCTACAGAACAAGCTCTAGAGTTGGCTGCCTGGGCTTAAGTCGGGCTCTACCTCTTACAGGGGGCCCTTTATCTGAGACTCGGTCTCTTCTCTATATGATGGGGATAATGGCTGGATCCACACAGAGCTGTTCAGAGAATTACGTAAGCCGACACCTTCACAGCCTGTGGCACTGGGTAAGTGCCCACTAAAGTGCTCACTTTCGTACTAGTTTCCTGTTTGATCTAGTGTCCCTTGAACCAAACTGCTCTAGCAGCTGTGGAGGACATCTGCATGTGATGCTCCAGTGACCCTAGGGCTCCTTGGGAGGCCAGGAGAGACGATGGCAGAGGCAGAGCTCCCACCACAGAGCAGATCTGCTTTTATCTGCTTGTATTTTGGAATTCTGCAAAAGAGGCTATGTAAAAAGAAGGATTTCCTACTTAATTTCTAGAAAATTTACAGACGAAATGAAAAAACGTGTGTCCACACTAAAATTTAACTCTCTTACGGATGTATACGTTTTCTGCTTCTTTCTTCTGCTACTTTCTTACTCTCCACGAGTAGACTAGGATGGGCGGCAGGGGGCAAGGTCCTGATAGGTTTCCACCCTCTCCTCTTCACATCAGCTCCTGCATCAGAACCTCAGCTGACCTTGTTAAAGTACCAGTATCTGGTAGCTGTGGACAGTGCCCTAGTTTAACAAGCTCCCCAGGTGGCTCCCATACAGGTGGTCAGAGGTCACCCTTTGAGAAACACTTTTACAAAAAGATAGGGGGTGGCAAGGCCTTTTAAAACTTCTTTAAAAAGTTGATGAACACTCTTCAGGGTCCATAGAATGGACACGCCCATATGGGAAATACATCAAAGCAGAGGCTGGGCGTGGAGGAGGCCTTAGGAAGCCGGGACAAGGTCAGCCTTAGAGCTTTCCCCAGGCCCAGCCACGGCACCATATCAGCCAGAACAGCTCTCCCTGGATCCAGGGCCCTCCCTCGTCTGGGGCCAGCCAAGATTCCTGGTACCTCCTTATGCCACCTGACCTCTGTGGCCTTCAGCTGAGCAGGACCTCCTGAATTCCCTCCCCTTCTCACTTAGTCCCATCCATCCCTTATTAATCCCACATCTTACCCCAGGGACCACCTGGAACCTTTTCTTGCAGCTGCCCTGGTATGAACTATTTGTGTAATAAAATCTTACCCTACCTTGGTCTTCAGCTGTTTCTGACTCATGATACATATCGACCCCAAACACACCAAAATTAGATGGTGAGTTCGTTGTAGCCAGAAACCCCCTTCTTCCCTCGTTATGACCCAGATCTAGCATTAGGCCCATGGGAAGTACCTGCCACTGGCTGAATGGGTGATCGACTCCATGGTGCCTCTTCCCTCCCCTCCTTCCCCAGTATTAAAACAAGAAGGATAAAACTGAGATCACCAGCAACTGGGTTGCGAGTTCTTCCTTCTTTTATCTACTTTGGAGAGTGTTTATGTTATGTTATGTCTTATCCAGATTTCATTTCCACAAGATAGGAACTTATTTTTTTGTTTTATGTTACCTGTCAAGGTAGCTAATTAAAAGTTTAGAATTCCCTATTGAATTTTTAGGGAATTTATCTTTGCCTTCTGGGCTATGGGTTTTGCTCTCTGCTGCTGCTCAACCTGTTTTGCTGTGGTGTATTTTTATGTTTTGTGCCCTGCACCACCGGGAGACAGACCTTCCTCTCAGAGCTGTGGCTTTGCGTCTTTGTTTGATATTCAGGTTCCTCCTGCTTTCTTGAACCACTCTGCAGTCACATGCACCGGCCAAACTTCCTACTTTTGCTTCTGTGACTTTTTAATAAACGCCATCTGTGTGCCTGAATCCATCTGAGATGCTCGTCCTTAATTTATGAACCCAGACTCCGAGTGCTGTTGACCAGGCTCTGGTTTCTCGCTGGCCTATTTTGCGTTCCTTTGTGTTCCTTCTACTCTCTCAGTGCGTGAGCTAATCTGCTTTCTTTTACCTTTAAATAAGTTTGGAAGATGGACGCACCCTAATTTCGATCCCTTAAGCAATGGACATCTTTGGTTTGGTAAAAGGCCTCGGTGGGTGCCTTTGTCGGCAGCCTCACTCCTGGCACCACGGATTGTGCCTCCTGGGGAAGATGGGGTCTGGCTTTGGTTTCTGTGGTTGAGATAATGGGGTGAGGGAGAGGCTGTGTCCTCATGGGAAGATGCTAAGTGCTCGGATGCCCAGGGCGGCTGGGCCGGGGGTGAGAGAGCTGGCCCCACTGCCCCCCTGCTTCCTTCCACTGTGGAGTCTGAGCTTTTGTGCTGGTAGTTAATCAGCTCAGAGTCCTTCCTCCCCAGTTGCTGACACGTCCCTCCAGGTCTACCGAATGCTATTAGAAGAGGGCGAGACTGAATTCAGCCATGGCTGAGGTCCTCATGGGCCTGCTGGACCTCATTGCTGTGCTGCTCCACCCCTAGGAGATGGCCCATGGCTGTGGCCTGTGGCAACTCTGCCGTTTGAGGTTTGTGAACCGCAGTCATCTCGACCGCAGAACCGAGGGCTTGTGTCTTGCCTCGCCCGGAGCCGCTCAGTGGCAGCAGGGTGGCCTCGCAGGTGCGTGGCATGGCCTGGGCAGCGAGGGTCAGCCCTGGTGCCTCTTACCTCAAACTGGATCAGCACCGTCCCGCTTTCAAGGCCTTTTTTTAACAGTTCCATGGATCCTTCCAAAGTGTCCCCACCCTCCGGACACATGGGGAAAATGGTTTCTGGGAAAAGCTGGTTCAGTTCATCTTCAGATTTGATCTCGGTGAATGAGTGGACAGCTGGAAGAACAAGACAGAAGGCGTCCGGCACTTTGCTACTGGTTTCCCCGCCAAGGAGGACCCTGCAGCAGCTGGGCACAGGTGTTCAAATGTCTTCCCGAGTGGATCAGCACGTGGTGGTGACCACCTCCACCGAGACCCCGTTTCCAGGTGAATGACCCAGTATGTGTCACTCACATAAACAACATCTGATCTCTGGTTAGTTTTACACGACTGCGTTTAGTACTCGCGGGCTTTTTCCCCAAAGGTAAGGAAAGGAGGAAGAATGTTCTTAGGGCAGATTTTCTCATTTGTTCTCTGACCTTGTTATTTTCCCACCATCCCAGTACCTCTCCCTTCTTGGGTCCTTTTTCATTTATTTCCCTTAAATGACATTTTCCCAGGCGCTGGGGTTGGGGGAGGGTCCCAAGTTCGTGCTCGACAGCCCAGTCTCTACGTGGGAAGCTCCCAAGGAACATCCTCTGTGCTTCAGTCCAGCTTCAAGATCCACATTCTCCTTTCACGTCAAACTCAGCAGGGGAAGAAATACTTCTACTTTACCTGCCTGTATCTACTTTCTCTCCTTCTCCCAAGCTGGAGACTTTGGGATCATTTCTGAATTTTCCCTTTTCACTCAGAAAGGTAAGTCACTCCCTCAAAAGCCTTCAGTGGCTCCCTACTGCCTTCAAGATCACAGGAAGGGGGAGGAAAACTAAACACTCGAGTTTCCCCACAAAGTGGAACTGAATCCTCACAATTCTGAATGTGCTGTTGTTCGTCCCGTTTCACAGACAAGGAAATGGGGCTCCTGGGATGGGGAGAATCATTAGGGTAGGGCACGGGAAATCGGTGTCTGTCTGACTCTATCGTGGACCACAGCTTGGCTCTTCTTGTACTATGTGACTTTGACCCTATCTACAGCTTCCTGTGCCAAAGTTGACTTATCACTTTTTCTTTAATATAAATACTGGGGATTGAACCCAGAGGCACTTTACCACTGTGCTATATCCCTAGCTCCTTTTACTGATTTTTGAGTCAGGGTCCTGCTACATCGCCCAGGCTGGCACGGAACTTGTGATCCTCTGGCCTCAGCCTCCTGAGGAGCCGAGATTCTAGGGGAACATTATGTGCCTGGCTCAGTCCATATTTTCTTACTTAAATGCTTATGTTAGAAATAAGCTTAACATTACGATCACTGGAAATCCGGCAGCCCTTGCTCTTTGGCTCTGACGGTCTCTATTCACTGGTTTTCCTCACCCCAAGAGGCACCAGCCAGGGGCCAGTGGAAGAGGCCTCCCGTGCCCACTGGGGACGCCCAGGTCTGTGTGATGGAGGCTCCCCACTGATTCCTCAGGCTCCCATCATCATGTGGCCTTACCAGTCACGTGGCAGAGGGAAACTTCTTCACCTGGGATGTGGTTTCCCTGTTTTCTATTTGGGGTAACAACACCCACGTCACAGGGGAGTCGTGAGAGTGGAGGAGGATACAATGGGAAGCCACTGACCCAGGGCGAGGTCCTCGTCTGGCATGACCCAGACACCAGCTACTGTCCTGTGGACCCCCACTGTGTGCCTGGCAGGCTGCAGGGGCATAGGAGGGATCAGAGGTCCCCTACGGCCTCCCAAGGAGGTGGGTTCATGCTGGCTCTGGGCTGGGAGTTCTGCAGGGAGCAGAGAGTGGCAGGGTGGAGTTGCCCAGCAGGCGTGAGCCAGGGTAGAGCCGCGTGGCTGGGGCTCCGCAGTCACACCTTCATCTACCACCAGTGTTGAAGGCTGTCGGGGGACTCACTGGTCTTGGCGTGTTATTCAGAACAACAATGGTAACTCCTTGGAGGCCCTCAAGAGATGACACTTGCCAGGCAGTGGGCAAGACCCTGTCTCTAAATACAATAAAAAATAGGGCTGGGGGTGTGGCAGAGGGCCCTGAGTTCAATCCCTGGTACCACCCCAAAAAAGAGATGACACTCAATAGAGGCCTTCCTTCAAACACCTTCCACAGCCCAGACAGCACCCAGTGTAAGTATCCTTAATCTTCACAAGCACCCTTGAGGAGGGCACTGTCAAGTCCTCAAGTCCCTCTAGGGGAACAGAAGTGCAGGCTGGGGCTGTAACTTGCTCAAGGTCCCTAAACCTCAACCAGGAGGTGGAGTCAGGAATCTCCGGGGACATTTGGCTCCACCCCTCTAGCCTCAGGGCCTGCCCAGCAGACCTGAGCAGGTACCAGTGAAATCCAAGGGATCCTTGGGGAAGGGGCTGAACACGTGACCCTCCGCAGGACCAGGAAGATAAGAGACTGATGGGGGCTAAGCTGTGCCTGAGCTGGAGGAATCCAGGGCTCCAGCCTGGAATAAAGTAGGTGTTGGAGCTGCCTCTCTTCAGAGCACCAGCCTGGAGGGGTCAGGCTCTGGGGAGGAAGATCTTCACCTTTTCCCAGTGAGAAACAAGACACTCTCATTGCTATGGGAAAATTCTCGATTTTCAGATGCTGGCTACACACCCCATGTTTTCCAACCACAGAATGGGCTGGACAGTGTCCCCGTGGCTCCCCCCCAGCAGGCACTGTTACCTTTCCTCCTGATCACCAGGGCCAGCTCCCTCGAGTGGGACTCCCGGCTGGCTTTGATGAACATCACCACCTGGTCATGGGTGTGCTCGGAGATGTCCCGGCCATTGATCAACACGATCTGATCCCCTTCGTTCAGCTTCGGAATGCAGGTGTCCGCCTGCATGGAGGAGAGCGAGCGTCCGTTACCATGACACCTCCCTCCAGGGGCCGCGGGCTCCCTGGTCCTGGACACCTGAGACTGCCACCACGTCACTGTTTTACCCACTGGTACGGGCACAGGGAGGTGGCCGTGGGATTTTAAAGAAGTGCTGCTCAGAGTGTGAGCTAGGAAGCAGTTCAGCATAAGGCCCGAGACGGCTTCACTCTGGAGGTGCTGTTAGAAAAGGAGCCGGCAGCTGGAAGTGAGGGCGCAGCCGTGGCTTGCGAAGGGAAGGCCCTCGTCAGCACCACACCGGGGGCAGGAGCCGCTGCGGGGCGATGTGATGAGTTTAAGAGCACAGGAACCCCCAGAAACCACGAAGAGCAACACCAGGACAGCGAGAGGCTTGGGGACAGACTGCTCAAGAGTTAGAACCCCCAGTGGGCCCCTTCTTAGAAGAGACTCTGATGTTCTACCACTTTAAAAAAGCAAACGATCACCAGGCAGCTTCAGAGCGTGACGGACCCCTGAGTCTACTTGTGGGCATCCGTCCACTGTGCCTGTGTCTGAGCACCGTGTTGTGCTGCGTGCCCTCCGCATACACAGGCACAGCAACTAGAAAGAAAAAACGCCAGAGATGTGGAGGGCTGCGGTGGTGCTGGTGGGGAGACGGTGGGAAGGGGCTCAAGGTCTGTGATCCTGCTCAAAGCGAGCACAACGGCAGACTCTGCCTCAGTGTCCCCCCCTCCACAGTACTTCTCAAAATTGAATATGCACACAAATCACCCAAACGCGGACTCTGGTTCTTCAGGCCTGGGCTGGGGCCAGAGGCTCTGCTGTCTAACGAGGCCCCCAGGTGACACGGGTGCCGAGCCTCCAGGGCCCACAGAGCAGCAGGGTTTTAGCAAACCCAAGTCCCGCTCCCTCCGTCTGCCTGGGGGGACTTACACCCCATTGCCGCAAAAAGAAATGGGACAGGCAGAGACCCGACAGGTGTTGGGGAAGCAAATGTGGAGACCACACGGGGACACGTCTACTTACAGGTGACTCAGGGTTGATCCTTGAGACCACAAGAGGCATCTTCTGATCCACTCCGCCCTGTCAATGTGTCAACGTGAAACGACACTGAGTAGTTCACAGCGACAAACAGGTAGACACCAATAAAGCCAGTCTTCTGGCCTGTGGGGGCCTCAGACCTGGACCTGTGCTGCTCGCAGCCTGTGGCACCCCTCTCAGAACTAGGGAACGCCCTGTTGGCTTCTCTGCGGAGGGGACATCAGAACTGTTCAGAGGAGTCCCAACACCCCCACTGGTGATGAGCTGAAGAGGGTACGAGGGGCCTGTCAGCAGCGCTGCGACCCCAGAAGGGCCCCGCGAGCAGCCAGAAACAGGAGCTCTCAGGGCGGGCAGGTGAGGCCTCAGGAAGGGTCATACATTGTGTGAGCAGGGCCACTGGGTGCTGAGAAAGATGTGCACGAGGGCAGCTGGGGACGGCTGGCAAAGACCAGCTGCCCTCACCGGCTCCAGGGCAGGGGGTGGCGGCTGGTAGGTTGGTGGTTGGAGGGCCTGGGAGCCAACATTTCAGACTTCATGGGAAAGAGGCTCTGGAGCAACTGCTGAACTCTGTGCCACATCCCCAATCTGCAAAGGGACGGGCCAGGCTGTTCCCACCGTACTGCAGGAACAGATGGGATCCAGCCTACAGGCCACCATGTGCAGACTGCTCCAAGGCGCCCAGAGGATGGGACAGGCCCTGCACCTTGGAGAGCTGTTTTCTCTTATCAGCTTTAGCAATGCTGTGGGATTCTCTTAATAAGCCTTTTGAGGGGGTAGATCTGCTTGCCAACCAAGTGCCTTCATCTCTCTGAGCCTTACTATCCATCTGTGAGGTAGATTTAAAAATACTGTCTTCACCGCTTATTTTAAGAGCTCAATAAGGTGATATAAATCTAGTGTGCAGCAAGTGTTGGGCACAGAGGAGGTAGCAACAGCCTCGGTCACATTAAAAACTCCCCATCTGGAGGGCTGAGCCAGTTTCCCTATGCAGCTTAGCTATGCAGCACATTTCTAATGGAAATTAAAATTCACCTCAAGTGGTTTCCTAGCATAAACCTACCAAATAAATACACATGACATACCTTAAGATTAAATCCAAATTTTCCATCTTCATCCGGTGTGATACGGACCAAGACTAAGTAGCTGTCACCATTATCATTCTAGAAAACATTGGAAAGTGATCACTTACATTATTGCCCTTCCAGTGGCCCGTTCACAAGGGTGGGTCACTTAGGCGTGGCGGGACCTGGGCTGGCTCACCTTGTCACAGTAGTATTGGCTGGCATCCTCAGTGGACCCTCCCTTGGTCACCCTGTTGTAGTCCTCTAAAAACTGCTGGTCGACCCCATCAGGTGAGCAGGAGCCTGGAGCATTTGAAGACGGAGACACAGAACTGGATGACTTCTGGGTCAGGCAGCTTTGTGCTGGATTGTTCTCGGATAGACTCCTTCATTGTGGGGAAGGAGGAGATATTTTAATAACTGGATTAATGTTATTAATGCAAACATCACCAACTTGTTTGGGGACCAATGTCATGGATCTCTGGAACCTTTGAGCTACAAAGGTCCACTGCAGGGGTCTGGCCCATGCAGAGTCCTCCGGCCACGCCTGCCCTGGTCTGGCCTACATACAGCACATTAAGTTTGGGGGCAGAGGGACAGGAGGGCAAGTTGGATGCATGAGCTACTAAACACTTGGTTTCCCTTCCATTTACATTTTGCTGGGCAAAATGTGTCCAGCTACTTCGGTGATTTAACTTTTTTTTTTTTTTTTTTGAGATGGGGTCTTGCTATGGTGTCCAGGCTGGCCTTGAACTCCTGGACTTGAGCAGTCCTCCTGCCTCGGCCTTCCAGGTGCTGGGATTACAAGTGTGCAGCACTGTGCCTGGCTCTAGGGTTAAGTATTGACCCAGACTCTGCCAGGCAAGGCCGTGCAAACGCACATGTCCCTGTATCCTCTGAAGGACACTCTCCTTCCATCTCATTCTTGCCGACAGCTCTGCTCCATTGGACCCCTGGCCACCCAAAGGAAGCGGGGTGGCGGCTGCATGTTGAGGACAACTAGCATTCCTAGTTTATATCTGACTTCCATGGGCTGCCCTCATGAGCTCCTGTTTTGTCTTTCTGTATTTAACGTGGGTTCTCCTGGACCTACAGCTCATTGTCCTATATGGCAGCCTCTGTCACACATGGTACTTATATTTAAATAACTTAAGATAAAAAGTCAGTTCCTCAGTTGTGCTGGCTACATTTCAAATACTCAATGGTGCCTTCCAAGCTGGTGGGCAGCCACAGAACTTTTCTCACATCACAGAGGTTCTGTTAGACAGTGCAGTCTTGGACAATTACAGATGGTTAGAACTGACCAGGCCTCTGTGGTCATCTGCTCCAACTCCACCTCACAGATGAAGATGCCAAGGTCCAGAGAGGCTGAGTAACTTACTTAGGGTCACACGGCTTTCCCCTCACACTCATTCTGATGGTCCTGAGTGTTCCCTTCTGCTTTGCACAATGCCAAGTCTGCTCTTTAGACTCCTGTTTCTAACCTCACAGGACCACAGATCAACCACCCCTGCCATCAGGCTATAGGACAGGACGCTCAGTGTCTGTATTGCCCACACCGGTCTGTGGACCTCACACAGGTGTCTCACAAGGCACGGGAGTATGGCTTCTTCCCCCATCCTACAGACTCTGCCGCACCCCAGTCTCACCCGGGGAGAGGTGAACGGAGAAGGCTGAAACACCAACGGCGAAGACGGCGGCCCCACCTTCACTAACTGTTTACTTCGAGGCCTTGTCCAGGGCTTTTCATTAATACCATCTTCTCTCTTTCCTCAAGTTCTGATTAGCATTTTCTTGTTTGTTTGCCGTGCTGGAGATGAAACCCAGCGCCTTGGGCCTGCCAGGCAAGTGCGTGCTTGCTCTAGCACTGAGCCATACCCCTGGCCCAAATTAGCTTACGTTAAATAGAAAATCTGTACCTATTCACACAGAATAATTCGCAATCTCCATTTATTGAAGAAAATATTCAGCAACAGACCAATGCAGAAACAGCTCTATGGAGGGGAAAGATCTGGCTTGTGGTTTTCCTGCTGCTGGCAGGAAAAGGGTGTTGGGGCGGGAAGGCATTTCAGGAGAGGGTGTTGGGAGCTGAAGTTGTATGCTGGGTGTGTTTCCACACTGACAGTGAGACTCTGATTCACTTAAAAATAAGATTTCAAAATTTGCCCCCAACTAGGGCAATGTGGATGTTTTACTGGTTTTTTTGTTGATTTATGTTTTTGCAGTGCTGGGGGCTGAACCCAGGGTATCACCCAGCTGGGCAAGGCTCCACCCCAGCCACACCCCCCCGCCTCTTTTACTGCTTACAAGAGCACCACCCGATGGCAGCAAGGGCAACTGCAGAAGCCAAAGGCGTAGGAGATGCTATCTCCAGTTCTAGCGATGCCCTTGAACCTTTAATGGGAAGAAGCTGCTGATATCGTGCGCATACTTCAAATGTCTGCAGGAGTCCAGGGGGTGGGTGAGCCGCGGGAAGAGTGAAAGGCAGGCACACGAACAGAAAAACAGGGCCGAGGGGCTGGGATTGTGGCTCAGAGGTAGAGCGCTCGCCTAGTATGCGTGAGGCGCTGGCTTCAATCCTAAGCACCACATAAAAATAAAGATATTTTATCTGTCTATCTATAACTAAAAAAGTAAACATTAAAAATAGAAAAGAAGGGCCGATGAACAAGCAAACAGACTAATTTCAATTAAGTGGTATTAGTGAATATTATGGTTAATTGAAATGTTTTCTAAATTTGTGGGTTTTATTATATGAGATTTCAAAATATTTTTCTCTTGCCAATATAAAACTCAGTAGTCTAAAAGGGCTCACGGTGCTAAATAACACTAGTACGGCTACTACGACTAGTACTAGTGGACTTTCCAAATCCATCCCGTGCCCCAGAGCATTTTCCAATAGGGTTGGAGGTGACTTTAGATGGTAACTTATGTACACAGATGGCTTATTTTTGTCCTGACCAGCTGCATACAGAGGTTCCTGCAGGGTCCGGTGACATTCTGCTTGGTATGCAAGACGGATGGACAGACAGAAAGTAATCAGACAGTGGCAGCTAGATAGAGCACTTGGGGCAAACACGCTTCCTCCCTCTCTGGGCAGGATGTGGGTGCCACTGAAAGGGACAGGGAGGGGAGATGCCCCGTGAAGCCGGATTCCAAGGAAGTTACTGTGACAGGAGCAGAGAAGGAGCAGGATGCGGGAGGCGAGAAGATGTGGGTGGGTGAAGCTCGTGACGGGGAGGAGGAGCAGAAGCCAAAGCCCTGAGACAGGAGGGAGGGGGACACCGAGGAGACTATCCCTCTCCTCCAGGAACCACGGTGGCCAGTACGGTCTGGACCATGCCCGTGACCCGGGGGAAAGAGGGGCAGAGCCGGATTGCCAGATGTCTAAGAACTGTAAATACAACAGGCATCACAAACAAAGCCTTGGGAGAGGTCATTTCTCTGAAGATCAGAAATGAGAAATGGGAAGGCTTCCCACGAAAGGAAGACAGGGCACGATGCCCTCCTGCACCCGGTTCGAGATTTGCGTTCGAGGTGGAAGAAACAAGACGAGAGACTGGATGAGGATGGTGAAAGACAGACAGGGGCAGAGGAAGACCGACGTTTCTGGCAGGTACACAGGGGGCTTAGAGGCAAAGCCTCCCTCAGCCGGGCGCAGGGGAAGACGGAGAGCCCAGGTAAGGCGCGCGGTTGACATGTAAATGGGCAAAACCCAGCAAAGGACAGGCAAGGTTCAGGGACGCGAACGCACTTCCCTGGCTGGTGCCCCAAGAAGACAGACGGACACAGGTCCTCTCATGCTCCTGGATCTCAGGGACTGACGTACACTCGGAGAGGGCAGAGGCCACAGGAACTGGGATTGCTTAACTTGGAGAACAGGAGCCAGAGCCCTCAGGTGGATCTGGAAAGATGCCACACCTGTGGCTCCAGGGGACTGAGGCAGGAACCTGTACACCAGGTCAACATCAAGGTGACATCCAGCAGTCCTGAAGGACAGTTGCCCTCGGTGTCCATGGGGGACTGGCTGTAACACCCACCAACGCAGACACCAAGTCTACAGCACTCCCGTCCCTTACATCAAATGGCACGGAATTTGCACGTAACCGATGCACATCTTCTCACAGACCCTAAATCACCTCTAGTTAACCTGTAATACCAAATGCAACGCAGACGGCACGTAAACAGCTGTGACACTGTATTGTTGGTGGAATAACGAGAAGGAAAACAGTCGGGACATGTTTGGGTAGAGACGCAGCAACCCTCACAGGCCTAACTGCACGTTGGACATGCAGGTAGTCAGCTGGGTCCATGGAGGCAGAACCTGTGGACAGAGCGGGCCCGCTGCCCTGGCTGCCCTGACACCCAAGTCCAGACAGAGGGTGCGGCCACGCTGCAGGGGAGCTCCCCATCAATGGTGGGGTCCTCAGGCCCTGGGGGCCTGGATGACAAGGCCAAGAGAATTACCCACTGTCAGTGCCACTGAAGGAGGAGATTCCCAAGGTCCCTCTCAATGCAGGGAGGCTCTGAAATAAAAAGTGACACCTGCCCCAGACCTGGCGGAAGAAGTCACGCTCGGGGGAATAAGCAGAGACTTCTTTGTCTTTAAGCAGCAGTGCTCTCGGGAGGGGTATCTGTGTTGGTGACATGATGAAGTAAGAGCAAGAGGTCTTCTGAACACAGCCTCAACTTGCTCTGGGCCGAGTTTCCGGGGGCTTGGGTGGGGGGTGGGAGGTGGGGTCCCTTTCGCTATTATCGCCAGGAGGAAAGCTGACTTCTCTGTAGAATCTGTTCTTCCCCTGGAAGCGAGGAAAGGATCGAGAATGGCTGGTAGAGCCGTGGGGACAGCAGCCACGAACGGCCTGCTTGGGCCCAAAGCAAACTGCCAAGGCCTCAGAGCCCCAGAGTAAACTCTGTGCCACTGTAAATGCGGAACGGGTGGAGTGAGTCATGTGCGGGGACCGTGCTCCACAGCCTGGGTGGAGAGCCAGAGCCCAACCACTCCTTTTCTCTCTTGCTTCTTTGTCTTTAAGCAAGTACAGAACATTACACTTCATGCTTCCTCTTCAAAGAAACCCTCCTTGCCGCCTGTGGTATTATTCATCTGATTTCTCTGACAGAATGCTGCTTTTTGCCTCTTAACACAAATGTGCTGTAGAAAACATGTCAAACTCTTCTTAAACATTTTGCAAATACTCAGTGAAGTAACCAACACAGCTCTTCTCACCAAGTACAGACCAGCCTGCCCTCCTTGCCTGGGGCAGCGGAGGGTGCCCCCCCCCCCACTCTCAGGAAAGCTAGCGGCCTCTGGAGCCCCAGCAGAGAGGCTTCCGACAGCAGGAAGAAGTCCCCTGCCTAGCGGAGGTGAGGGCGCTGGTTTCCCCAGTTTCCGGGCCTCCTGCAACACGTCCACTCACACCCAGGGTCCTCGCCCCTGGCAAAACCCCGGCAGGAAGGCTGTCATCAAATCACCCTACTTTTAATATTTAGATGCAAAATAAAAAGTGTTCTTGGAAGAGACCTCGTACAGGGTCTCAGAGAGGCGTTTCAGAGAATCAGGGTGTACTGCGCAGGGGCGGGCAGGGCCAGAACTCACTGAAGTCAACAGGCCTGAGGAAGTGAGCTTTCATTTCATAAACTTAAATGTTAACAGCCCTTGTGGCTGGTGGCACCCCTGCTGGGCCGTGACGGCCTAGGTGTACTACAATTCCATGGAATGCGGACCCGTGGGAAAATCTGACGTAGGACATGCAGCCGTCTGGGCTTCCCTGAACCCTGCGACAGTTCTCCAAAGCAGCAGAGCCCCATAGTGTGACCATGGAGGCTGATAAGGAGCCATAGCCCAGCTGGTGCCTGAAGGCAAAGCTCTGTCTGATGTGATTCCACATTTCCCGCTCCATGGTCAGCAGAGGATGCGGGACCCAGGACCTTGGAGCAGCCACAAGCCACTTTTATGAAGAAGAGTGGCATCTCTCCTGCACAGGCCCACCCCACACAGTGAAGTGACAGAGGGAGCTGGGCCATAAGGCCCCGAGAGGCCACCCCGGTTCCATAGCCAAGCAGCCAGGTGAGAGGTAGGAAGAGCTCCAATGGCAAGCCAGCAGCTAGTCCCCAACTTAAAGGTCACTTGTGTTTGAGAAGTGTCTTTTCCACTTGGAGGCATTCTGGGAGTTCACTCCACATTCAGTGAATAATAGAAAAAAGTTTCAGTCTAGAGTATGATCAATGGCACTTCCTGTGACAACTGGAGTGGGCTACATATGTGCCGTCCCACATGAGAGCCACCACCTACACGAGGCTCGACAGAGCATTTCAAACGTGGCCTCTGTGACAGAGGCACTGAATGCTGACATTTTATCTTGAATGTCCATAGCTGGTGGCTACCCCAGTGGGCAGTGAAGGTCAGGGTGCTCTATGATCCCCCATTGGGGCTGCAAACCACAGCAGGAAGCTCTGACGCGGGGAGGGCACATGGGTTCCCGGGAGCCCTCGGGCAGTTCCCTACACCCGCTTCTCCTTCAGCCAAGCAGCAGAGGAGTCAAACTGGCTCTGGTCACGCACACCTGTCCTCCTGCCTGTACTTCTAGGTTTGCTTGTGGTTTGCAAAGCCACAAGGGTCACCAAAGGAACTCATACCCATTCTCTGTGGCTTCCACAATCATTTTAAGAAAAGCATCATCAAGCTCAGGTCACAAGGAAATAATGACCATAAGGATTATTTATCCAGAGGCGTTAAGAATGAAGGTAAGTGGAAGACCAGACCATGTTTGCTGTGGGTGGGGTAGAGGAGAGGCAGCATCCCTGCACGGGAGTGGGGAGGAGATCTGCAGTTCACCTGCGAGTGCCTAGGCGCCATCAGGATGTGCCTAGTGCCCTAAGCCTCCAGCTTCAGCGACAAGCATGGACAGATTAACACGGAGCCCGCTTGCTAACCCTCTGCTGTGAGGGGCAGGCACCGCCTTTCTGTATTTTGGTCATAGGCTGGGGCTTAAGAGAATGGACACCTAAAGACTAAAGTTCATTTCCTACCAGTGCATTCTTTCCTGTCATACTTTAACCTAAAAAGTCATTTAATTTATGACCTCTGTCTTGTCTACTTCAAAAATGACTTAAGAGGGCTGAGGTGGTTGCTCAGTGGTAGAGCACTTGTCTAGTATGTGTGAGGCCCTGGGTTTGATCATCAACACCACATAAAAATAAAGTTATTGTGCCCACCTACAACAAAAAATAACAACAAACAAACAGAAAATGACTTAAGAGAGCTTACCCTAAAAATGTACAGATAGATAGAATTGTATAAGAAAGGTAAGGAAGGAAGAGAAGGGGCTCCATCAAAAACCTGGGCTAAGGGAAGTGAATGCAAGTGAGCATAACACATAGCTCTGAGCTTCCTGGTAAGCAAGGCAAAAAGGGAACTAAGGGTTAGCCACATGTTACTGAATAACAAAGAATTCAAGCCAGTCTTGTAGAAGAGACATACGTTTCCTGGCCTTATCAATGAAGGGAATTTGTCACATTAAAAAAGAGTGGGAAATAGAGGGATTTAGAACAAACTGTCCTTGACAAAATTTGACAATCAGGGATGTTCTATCTAGCATGTTTTTTCCTTCTTACTATTAAACATGAAAAGAAAACAAAATCCCTCAGGGCGTACTCTTGTTCTAAGAAGGCTTTCAGCACTTTCCCAGTGATTCGCAATCACAGCGAAGCTCAAATAGTCTAAAGAAGCTGTAGTTCATACAGCCCTGGAGTCTTCCCCCGCAACATGAACAATTTAAAATGAGCTTTGCTCATGAACTAGAGGGGACTGCGAGAGACTGACGGGTACATGGAGAGTAGGTCTCGGTCACAGATGAAAAGCAGTGTGAGCACCGCACCCGGGCCCAGAGGTTGCCTCCCTATGTAGACCGGCCGCTCTGATTTGTGTTCTCATCCTGGCAGAGAGCAGCCTCGGGAGCTGGCTGTGGGCACCAGCTCTAAAGGCCACTTGGACCTGAGCAAATTCCTCAATAGACAGCCAAGAAGCAGATACAGAAAGAGGAAAGGCCACAGGTTCTTACTCTTGGTGTGGGCTGCGGTTCTGAGAAACTTCGGAATCGCTGTCTTTGGGGGACAGGGAGCCCTTGTAGGTGTAAAACACGTCTTCAGTTTCCGTAATGTACGTCATCTCATTCGCCAAGTTATCAGCAGAGGAGTGGCGGGGCTTCCTGATTTCGTGCCGGAGCCGAGGACTTCGCCTGGGTGGGGAGAGGTTAAGTTCAAAGCGCTGAAAACAAATTCGACACAGAGAATTTGGCCAGGCATAATGATGGGGATCGTGTGCTGGCCTTGCTAAGGAGGCCTGGGCTGATGCTGCTACCAAGTCAGAGCCAGGTAGCTTATTCCTGTTGACCCAGCGTCAAGACGTCATACTAGGTGCCAATCAAAATTTTTCTCACCCATTTGAACAATGTAAACAAAAAGTTTAGGAGCCAAAGTGAATTTCTTGGCAAAACGCAAACCTTATTTCCTTTACATACATCCTTTTGTGTGAATTTCACTTGATCCCAGAAGGGAATGTTTGCTTTTCAAACTACATTCCTTATTAGCCACATGTGGGGAGATGGACGTCCAAGTGTTGCCTTGCTCTTGCAGCAGTAACCAAGTGACCTTGGGCAAGTCCCCTGTACCTGAGGGCCTTCCCTGCACTTACGTACGGCTCCTAAGAATGAGCCAACTGAAGACACTTTCTCAGAATGCTGGGTCAGCACCTGGGCACCTGCAGCAGGTCATCCTGGGCATGCTCTCTTCCCTCACAGTGTTTCCATCTTCCCTCTCTCTGTTAGCTATTTCTCCTTGGGACTGTCTGGACCCCCATGACTTGCAATCTCCCCAAGTCCAGATAATCAATAGTGCTGTGTCCTGTGACTCTCTTAGGAGAGGGCCTATAATTAGCATCAAGAGCTCTAGGGCACGAGGGTGGCAATATCCAGCCCCGCTGTTCTGGATCCCACCCAGGGCTCTCTGGTTCCTGGCGCTGCTGCCAGAGAGAGTTCCAGATAAAGGAAGCTGCTACTTTATAGAGCATAAATGTATCCCTTTAGGATCCTGGAAGATCAAAACATTTTAAATCTTGGAAACCAAGAAGCAAGTCTATCCATCAGATCATGATTTCTGATACTGAAAATTATCTTCACTCTGCTCAGGGCATCTGGCGCCCGGCAGAGGGTCCTTTCCAGCAGGCCCTGCAGACAGCCTATCTCCCTGGCTCTGTCCCAGTCTCCCTTTGTCCTCGGAGATCCTGGCTCAGGGACTCACAGGCTCTCCTGTCTTAAAGCCACACTGTTAATTCCAAGTGGAGCTGGGGCAAGACTTCCCTGCCTGCTTCCCGTCTTGCTGATGCCTGGCCTCTCTGCAGACAGGCACAAAAATGGGCTGGTATCTTTGGGGTCATTATAATAATATAACAGTAACAGAAAAATTCTACCCGGCTCTTTTAAAATAAAGTCATATACAGCAAACTTAAGAAAACTGCTTATATGAATATAAAATGACTATTTGTGGTAATTTTCATGACCCTTACATAGAAGGAAAACTGAGGTCAGAGAGGTAAAAAAAATGAACTTAATCAGCAGAAGAGCTAAGCTCTGCATTTGGGTCTTCCAGCTGCAAACCCAAATGGCCACGTCCTTCCTTTTTACCCCTTCGCTCCAGAGCTAGGGATGGAACCCAGAGCCCTGTGCACGTTGGCAAGGGCCCTTCCACCAGCCACACCCCTACCGGCTCACATCTCCCTCCTTTTTAGCTGCTGCACCCTTAAAAGTTAGCAGCCCCCCACCAAGGGTGTTTGCTGCTGTTGCTGAGGGTCACACAGCCTCACTTCACTTACATCACATATTTTTATCGACTATTTCCAAAGTTTATTTTGGGTGATATTAACAGGAAATGTAAGGCTAAATAAAGTTACTTGTGCTTCTTCACCACAGGACTTCTCAGAGCATTTAATATGCTAACGCACACCACAACTCTAAGAAGGCGTTTCCGCAGGTGACAGCTTCCAAATTTATTAAGACTGAATGTGTTTTTTAAAAAAAAACACAGTTGAATAGGAGGAATAACTCCTAATGTTCTAGTATAGTAGGGTAACTGTGGTTGACAGCAACTGTATACTGCAAGGTGAGTAGGAGAGAGGATTTTGAATGTTCCCAACTCAAAGAAGTGATAAGTATTTGAGGTGATGGATATATCAATTACCCTGATCTGGTCATTATACACTGTACACCTGGGCCAGAACATCACACTGTACCCCATAAGATGTGCAGTTAATGTTAATTTAAACATTTAAAAAAATTTTAAAGAACATTTCAACATCATATACTATAGAAATGTTTAGCTAGGCTTGTAGACTTCAGGAAAACAGTTATCTCTACAACAGCCCAAAATGCACACAAAGACTCTGACTGCAGGCCATCTGTGTTTAGGAATTTATAGGCAGAGAGAGAGCGCGTGTCTGTTGGTGGGTGGCACAAAGGAGGACATACCAGTTGGGGGTGATAGGAGGGGACCGGGAAGGCAAGCTCTTGGTTTCTAGATGCTCCACTGATAAGGACCTCCGCATGGCAGGGTTCCACACCATTCCTCCAATCACCTTTTTGCAATATTGGCTATTTACAGACCTGAAAAATCAGACACAGGTTCACTTTCCCCACTGACACTGCCAGCAAGAAAAGAAAGCACAGCACTCGTGATGAGAATCAGAGTCTCCCCACACTCCTGCCCAGACAGACGGCTGCTCAACCCTAGGTGACACCAACCAGGTTCTCGGGAGCGGAGCTGGAGAAACTGTCCTTAGGAGGGTCCTTTCCACCCTGGCTTTTCCTTATGGTATTTCTTTTGGTAAAAATGTGTTCATGTTTCCACTACTTTAAGCTACCTGGTTGCTTCCAGGATATAACCAAACCTTACCAGATTAGAAGGAACGCCAGGATAGCTCGCAGAAACACAGTTCAAGTAACTTCGAGGGATTCTCACTTTACTCACATTGGCAGGAGTGAAAATATTAACCATCCCTCCGGATGCTCTTTGTCACCCTGGCTGGCAGAAGCTGTCCCTGTAAATCACTGATAACTGACAGAGAACCTAACGATATACTTAGAAAGTACAATTTCACCCGTGTTTATTGAAGGTTACATCTGAATCTTAGTTATACTTAGAGAATTTAAATCTTGGAGAAAGAATTATTTGAGAGAATAGCCTGAAGTTCATTAAAGGCTAACGCTTTTGGTTCTGGTATTGTAAACGTTCAACTAAGTTCTAATGTCTTAGGAAAACATTCCACATATTTCCTTGTGGCCTAAAACCAACCCATCAATAAAAATAAAGACAGACAAAACCAAACTCCCCTTAGAATGTCACATATTAATTTACAATAATAAAGGCCAGTTGCCCTGATGGAAATGCTCATGGGGACATCACGAGGAGAACTTTCCCTCTGAGGTTGATCTACATCAGAAACCACGTGACCATTAAAACAAGGGGAGCTAGCTGCTCGAGTCCCAAGATTAACGTATCAAATCCCCAAAGCCCGTGTCACAGGTTAACGGGTTGACGAGTGTTCCGTTGTCCCGTAAGCTTGGAAAATTCCAGGATGCAAATGTGCAGATTTATGTCTAGGCGTGGGCAACCACGTCACCTTTCTAAGCCTCGGTTTCCCCATCTGTGAAGTAGATGGAGGTGAAGAGAGCTGAAGGCACAGCATGCTGAAGCTGGTCCTGGGGTGAAGGAGTGCTGACTCGCACCCCAGCTCACCAACCCCCAGGCCCCGAGGGACCCCTTGGTGACTAAAGATGGCTGGTAGTTCTTTGACTCTTTGCCCTGTGCTGCCCAAGACAGCTTTAATTGACAAAGGCACTTGCCAGTTCCAGGCCTCAGCCTTGGGAGGACTGGCTGGTTCTGCCTTTGGCTCTTGGAGCTTTGAGCCTCCAAAGAAGAAATTCAACTGCCCAACTGTAGAGTCTACCTGAAGAGGCTGAGGGGACTGGGTGGGTCATTCCACCACACACCAGGCATGGGTTGAGCAAGTAGTTCAAAAGACACCAAGCCTTGGAGATAAACTGTCTTGGACCCTCCAGACAAGTCCAGCCACCAGCTATGACATTCTTATCTATACCACATGGAGCAGAACAGTCCTCCGTCTAAGATCCTTGAATTCCTACCCCACAACATCTTAAAATACAATAGAATGGTTGCTTAAAGCCACCGAAATAGACACAGTTTATTACATAACAGTACATCACCAGAACCCAGCCCCCTGGCTGAGGAGTACGTTTTGTAGAGGAAGAAACTGAAGCACCAAACTAAAATCCAAGTGGTCCAGGGAGGATTTAAACCTGGCTGCTCAGCCCTGGGACTCATGCTGTCTAGGCCCTCACAATGACACCTCGCATCTGGCCTGGACGGCCAGGTCCCACCTAAGTCAATACTATGTACCAGTACATTCTGACTGAATAAAATTGCTTTATTCTAATTAACTCATAAATAATGTCACAACAGTTTTCAGAGGTCACACATTCACACAGTCGCAAACTAAAACCATCTCAGTGACCTTCCTACAGAGCAAGATCACCTGCACGGCTGCTATTCCAAAGGAGGGTCACTGGTGGTCACACCACATGCTTTCACTCTCCAGTATCTTCTTATACTAAGTAACTTGGTCACGAGAGCTGATTTTCCACTTCTTGATCAGATGCCTTCATTTGCAGATCTGTACTGTCACAGCACCTCACTGAAACCTTCTCGGAGCTTAATGTCACTGGGCTTCTGGGCACACTCAAGAAACTATTTTGTCTTACAGAATCAAGGGCCACCAAGTGCTGCTGCTGTGCCAGCTGGGTTCCTGGGAGCTGCTCCTAAATGATATTGGGCCCTGGGGCTCAGAGTTACTTCCTCGGTGGAAGCCCTAGCGATGACGGCAGGACCCAGTGAGTGCCCAGTGCGGGGCCCACAGTCATGCAGCTGCAGGGGTTTCCAGACCTGGCTGCCAGACAGCAGCAGCAGGTGAGCACCCTGCGGACAGTGGGGTTGCCTCTGATGCCCAGCTTCTGTGCTGGCCTGGGTGCAGCTCTCACCCAAGGGACCCTGCTGGCCAGAGGAGCCATGCAGGAAGTTAGGCTTGGGCTTCCATGTGGCATGCTAAGTGTGCACTGGCTTGACACCTAGAAGCACCACCAATAAATTATTCTCAAGACTTATTCAGGGATAGCTACTGAGTGAGTAAATTACTAGACAGTACTGTAGGAGCTAAGAACTTTATATGTGCTCTTGGATCATGGGAAGCCGAGAGAGAGCATTGGGTAATGAGTGGCATCCCTGATACTAAATCTGCCACTTTCTGAGTCTGTTCCCAATGACTTCAGACAAGGGGAAAGTCCTAAAACACCTGATGCAGTTCCACACCACGTAACGAATCTGACGTGAGCCTCATTTAGGAACAACCACATAACAAATCACAGAAACTCAGAGAACCAACGAATGATTTAGAAATTCTAAGAATAACTTAGTAAACAATTTCTGCTGCCTCTTATACTTGGAACAAAGAAATAAAACAAAAAAACTGCATGGTTATTTTTAGAGACTAAATACGTTTTAATCTAAATTTAAAATTTTAAATATACAGATGAATCATACATAGATCTCCCTTACTTTACTACTCATTAAATATTCTCAATATGATTCCCATGGGTAATAATACCTATCTCATAGGACAGCTGTCAGAATAAAATATAATTAAATGTGTGCCTGGCATAAAGTAAACGCTAGGTAACTGTCAACTGTAATTACTAATATTTTGTAATAGTTATGAAATATATTCCAAGGTCACCTGACTCTGGAAACCTTTTCTTCTGTTCATTCATCTTCATGAAGCACCTGAAGGGATTAATGTTCTGTGGAGAGGCTGCTGAGTGGCCTCAGTGGGAATGTCCAACATGCTGCACCAGGATGACCCTCGGAGCCCTTTTACTAGACAGGGTGCAGGGGCAGCTGCACCCCGGGTTGCTTGGGAGCTCTGAGGACAGCAGAGCTGAGGGACCAGAAACAAATGCTGAGAATATGACACACCTGGGCGTGTGCAGGGACACTGCCACCCCCAGGAACTCTTCAGCCAGGGTTCAGGATCAGTGCCTAGGCTTAAGGTCACAGCATTCCCTCCTCGGCCCAAGGACATCGACTACCCAGTGGTGACTAGCCTTCTAGTGTGGACACTGCCCCTAAAAAAAACATACTCACTTTTTGGGGTTCCTGGAGCCCAGAGTCCAGTACTGAGGCAGAACATTCTTTTCCTGAGGTAGTAACTTCTTTGCCTGAAAGAACGTATGGTGCTCGACACAGGATTTCCACAAGTTTTTGCAAGACCGGTAATTTAGCATGTTGAAGGCCACGATATGTTCCCTGGATTCAGTCTGGGAGGAAAAACAAGAGATTTCATCTGCATAGATGAAGGCCTTGGGTGTGCTTTAGCCACTATGGGGGCAACCAGGAAAGATGCAAGGGACAGTGTCACGGAATGTTCCAGAGCAGGACTGTTCACCCTCGTTGTGAATGCAGTGGTGAAGGCCACAACCCATTCCTCATCGGAAGGCCTTCAGCAACACTTGTTTCAAGTCTCCTTACATTTCGAGGTTGGATCTATTTGGGGCCACCATCCAACATGCTCCTTTTAAAATTTAGCGCTGTGAACATCTCTGTTCTGAAGAAATACCCTTTGCCCTACCAGACAACAGCAACTTCATAACCTGGAGATTTCTCCACTGCTTCCCACAGAGCACAGAGAGAAGCCCAGTATGGCGACATGATAAGCATTTTAATCCCTGGCTCTGCCTTCATTCTTCGTGGGTTCAGGTTTTCTAGTTTCTTGTGCATTTTAGAGTCGTGCTGGGGGGTCAGCTGGCCCAGATTCTTGCCCTCATTTGCTCTGAGCCCAAATGCTCCCTCCTTTCTAAGGGTTCTTTGCTATGTGGAGCCATTTTAAGGACATATTATCTTTGAAAAATTGGGAAATGGACATAATGACAGCAGGTGGCATGTATGAATCACAACAACACTGTATGGTGTGGGAAGTGCAGGCATCCCAGACTCCTAACGATCTGTTCCAATTCCAGCACCCCCAACCCTGGCAGTGGGAGCCTCAGCTTCCTCACCTCTAAACCTGCTTCTCCCCGTGGCAAAGCAAACAGTTATCTAGGGTTTTATCAGCCTCCTCCGGAAGACGCGGACACAAGCCACCAAGCTCTAAACACACCAAGGGAAGGAAGTGGCCCTGCAGACGTTTCCTGCAACTCTGCATGGGCTCTGGTGGCTGCGCTGACCATGCCCTTTCATTTCATCCTCCCCGTCCCTGAGAAGAGGACTTTATTTATTTATTTCAGGCTGGGGAGGTTACAGCCCTGCCCAGCTGGTGAGGGAAAGAGGTGCAACCTGAACCCACCACCTCTGACTTCAGAGCAAGTACATTCTCCAACCAGAGAAGCAGACGCCGACGGAGAGCACTGCTGGACCCTCCAGACCCAGTGCCACCGTGCTCTTTTGTCCCTGTTACATAGGTGGCCATCTGCCTCCTACCCCTGAAGAACTAAGAGCTGAGGTAACTTCAAAACACAGGAAAACAAAGCAGTGCAGACACAACTCACCTGTTTTTGTCGCTGATGTATAAAGAACTTTTTCCTTTTGAAAGAAATTTTGAGAATGTTCACCCTGCAGAAAGTCAAACAGAACACAAAAACCAAAAACTAAACAAAATGCAAAATAACACACACATCGGGGATCAGCCAGTGGTAGCCGACCCCCTTCAGTATGTGTCCTCTAGTCCACGGTCCTGACGCGGGGGGCTCCCAGCTTCCTGGAGAGCACTTCACCATGAGCAGCGGCCGCCCATCACCTCCACCAGACACCAGGAGCCGACTGAGCTGGGTCTCGCACGGAGCCGCTGGACTGTGATGTAGCTTTCAAATAACAAGCATGGATGGGCCATGCGCTCTCAGTGCTGTGATCTTCTTTTGTGACACTACAGCCCTGCAGAGCTGGTGGACACGTGGGGAAGACAGCTGAGGGCAGTGCAGAGCAGCAGCAGACAGGCCTGGGTCAGCATCCCAGCTCCATTACTTAACGGCCACGTGTCAAGCAGCCTCTCTATCACACGCACATACAGAATTAAAGACGTCATTAGCAGGATATATTTTTATATACCAGGCCAGTGTGAAGAACTTTACAAATATCCCCTCCATTTAGTCTTGCAACAAACCTGAAAAGTGCATACTGTTATACTGTACCCAGTTTTCAGATGAGGAAACTGAGGCTTGGAGACATTGCAGAGGTGCTCAAGATCACTTGGTCAGGAATGCTGGCAGCCAGGATCTGTACCTAGCACCTTCCTGAATCCAAAGCCCGTGCTCTTGGGCCCTACAATGTGAAGGCTCCTACACGGTAGCAGTAACACTATCTCACAAAGTGGTCTTGTAAGGGTTCAAGTGATTAGTCATGTCAAGTCCTGAGAATGATGCTTGACATATAGTAGGCCTTCAGTGCTTGTTCCTTTCATTAAAACTGGTTAAAGAATTCATTTTTTAAATCAATTTCATTCACACTACTGTAATCCACACAAGGAACGCCCATTTCCCCACTAAAGACTACTTTAGTAATACTTCAGGGAATAAAGATTCTATCAATCTCTAGGATCATATGAAGACCTAGGTAGAGCATTCTAGAACAGAGAGACTGGTGGGGTAAACTGAAAATCCATACATGTGACATTTATACAGTTGCATCAGCAGTATGTGGTCTGCCTACAGTACATATTAAGTATTAAATAATGCATGATCTGTGGTGCAGATGAACTTGTTTGACAAGTGAATTTCTGGGGTGCTTGCAGGCTAACTAGCAAGGACCAGAGCTGTTAGGTTCAACGCTTGTGAGGTACTCATCCTTGCATGAGAATACCCTGCCTGCCATCTCCCTGGTCTCCTTGCTGCTCTCCTGTGCTAAAGGGCAGACACAGGCACTCCTGTTTTAAAGGAGTCAGGATACCCAACTGTGAGCTTCTGAATTCTTACCTTGCTTTGCCCATGGGAATCTGTGGGCCTCTAGCTCCCCCCTGTCTTCACATACAGGGACCCCTGCTCACCCCAATTTCTGTACTTGAGAGCATTCTCTGCCAGAGCAAATCTGATGAAGTGCAGACACAATCCGTATTATTCCAGGATAAAGTCCCTACAGTGGTTTCCTACTGTTAAGGGAAGAAAAAAAAAATGTACAAAGGGTCTAGATGTCTGAAGTCCAATGTCAAGCCCTGGGCACACAGGGAACATGACTGTGGGCAGCAGCATCTGGAGACGCAGAGTCTTCTGAAGGCGACCAGTACCAAATAAAACACTGATGCAGATAACTAACTATATGTGCACTCTAAGTGTGAACTGCAAATGTGTACTATCAGTCATGGTCAGGGCAACACTACGAGTGAGAAAGTCCAGTACCTCATCACCAAGAAAGGAGTACACACTCCTGTGGCCAGAGGCCCTCCCCCGCCAGGCCTCTCTCCCACCACTCCCCCCATCCACACTGTGCTCCAGACTGGACCACCCACCTCCCCTTGACTTACCGCATGTTCTTACATTTCTGAAACCAAATGCATACTGCACCTTTCCTCGGAAATTTATTCCACCCGGCCAAAGCCCATTCGGTTTAGTGTTTACCTATGTGGGCTCAGGGGGATTCCCGAAGTCCGCCTGCAGTACTTATTTACTGCCCTGGGGCCACCATTTGGGGTTAGCCTCCTGTCTTTGAGGTTTGCATCATGGGCAGGGACAGACCTCAACATGACCCATCTGGAGGTTGAGAGGTTAGGCAGTTAGAGGCAGGTCTGCAGGTGAGCCCAGGAGCGGGCGGGGTGTCAAGTCCTATGTCCCATGAAGCCCTTGCCTGTAGGGCTTTAAGAGGTTCAGCTGCAGAAGAGCTGGACCCAGTGGCTTCTGCCCTGTGGCTTTTGGGGAAGCCTCCAGCGCCTGGAGGGAGAGTGAGCCATGTGCCTACCACACACAGTTCTGGTCCTGGGCAGGCTGAAGAGCTGCCCAGGCCACGTCCCAGCTAGGAAGCCCAGACTCAGTCTCCTGCTTCCCAAGGGGGGGTTTATAACAAGTCAAAGGGAAAGGAAGACGGGGGAAAAGATCCTGTAAGCTGTTATACTGATTTTGTTGTGAAAACTGGATAGGACTGACATGTTTTCCTTTTGAAAAACAGGTACCCTGTAACACTGGAAGCCGGTGTCTGTAAACACATGTCCTATTGAAGCACTTTCCCACAAATGCAATTTTTAGGGGTGGCACAAGCATTCAGCGTGGAGTGTGATCTGGGTGTAAATTTCAACTGTACCAGGCATCAGCAGTTGATCCCAAACAAGTTCTCCCTTCTTTGTGCCTCAGTTTCCTCTTCTGTGAAACGGGGGATAACAACAGTGCTTACTCCAGGTTTAAAAGAGATAACAGATAAAGTACACGGCAACACGACTTGAACACAGCAGCACGACTTGAACACAGCTGATACCAATAATGATGACTGTCATTATTATTATCCCTCTAATTTTACAAACTTATAGGATAGTTTTTTTCTGTTGTAGATAATGCTATGATGAACATCTTTAGGTCCCAATTAGTGAGGCTCTGCTGCGGGAAGAGAGGCAGATTTAGACCCCAGGGTCAAGTTCAGCGTGGTTCAGACCTGGCACTCAATCTTGTCCCTGATTTCCTTCCTCGCAGCCCCTCTTCTTTACCTGCTTGTACTTCTGTTTCTGCGCCTCCTGCAGACTACAGACATCACTCCCTCAACTCCCCTGGCAAATCTGCCCCCCTCACTGCACACCACCACTGCACTGTCATCTATAAAGATGATATTATTTTGCTGTGTTTCCCTAAGCATCCTGTCAGCTGGTACCTCAGGCTCCAGCTTCTCTCCAAAATTCAGTTCAACCCTGATGCAGCCCCTCCTCTCTGGGCTGTTGCTTCCCATGATTTCAGTGACCCATGGACAACTGTGGTCTGAAAATGTCAACATTTGTGTTGACTTTTTAAAGAAAAAGACCACATTTCACTCAAGTTTTATTACAGTATTTTGGATTTTTGTTTACTTCACAGTACTAAGGACTGAACCTCTGATCTGTATCTCTCCAGCTCTTTTTATTTTTAAGATAGAATCTTGCTGAGTTGCCCAGGCTGTCCTTGAAGTTTTGATCCTCCTACCTCAACCTCCCGAGAAGCTGGAATTACACCTGGGAGTGCACCACCACACCTGGCTTCTACAGCATATTAATGTAATTGTTCTATGTTACTATTATTAATTGCAGTTAATCTCTTACTGTGCCTGACTTATAAATTAAACTTTATCACACATATGTATGTACAAGGAAAAGCTCATAGTGTATACAGGGTTCAGCACTACCTGCAATTCCAGGCAACCCTGGGAGTCTTGGATTGTACTGCAGATGCAGAGGGATGGGAAGGCTTTCTTAACTCTGACCCACTTCATACCATTTATCCACCATGTTTCTGCAGAGTACCCCAGACTACAGAATGACTGGGGGGAGAGGATGCTAATGAAAACCAAACTCTACATTTCCCAGGTTTACTAAATTTGGATCAAATTCTGAGGTCTGAGGTTAAAGTTTGGGAGAAAATCTCTACTCCTCTTTTAGGGAAAAAAAAAAGTGTAAAATTACTTTTGTTCAGCATATTTTTAAAGCGTGATTCAGACAATAATTAGAACTGTTTTCACTTACCAAGGATAGAAACTTGTGCAAATGTATTTTCGGTACACAGCAATGCCCGCTGAAGCAATTCCAATCATTAGATCTAAATTATGCAGATCCTGTGAAAAGGAAGATCTCAGATTTGCAGTGTTACAGTCTTGCTTAATGCCCACCAGTAACTTGAAAGCACCCAGAGTTTTATAAATAGCAATATGTATAAGCTGCAAAGGGGAAAATGCTACTGAAAACAGGCAAAAATCCCCACTTAATAGCTACTTGAGATCCAAGTACTTGGCACCAAATTCTTCCAAAGTGCACGTGCACACGCGCGCACGCACGCGCGCGCGCACACACACACACACACACACACACAGAGCTTTTGGTCACCTAGTTTAGAAAGTCACCAGAACCACTTAAATAGATATTCAGTTCTAAATTTTCAAATCAGCATTTGACAGCCACATTAAAATCCAAGAGGCCTCTCTCTGCATGGTTTGTACAATCTCAGCTCCCATTAGGAAAAAGGCTTTCGCTGTTCTGATATGATGAGGGAAAATTACAAGTGTAAAACTGACTCTAAATCCAATTAAGAAATAACTGTTGCTTATGAGTCCAATACAACTGACATTTACTAAGAACATTTACAGAGCGCCAGTCACGCTGTAGTCCTTGGAGACCCCGGAGAAGGGAAGCACAAACACTCCAAGCTGTTTTAAATCCATCTGAATATAAGCAAATAAAACCAAAAAAATACAGATGGCCCCTTCCCTTGAGTCATGTACTTCCTGTTCCCCATCAGATACCTGAGGCTGTAAAGAAGGAGTTTGAGTTGGCGGTTTCAGCTGGGCATGTACCTTTGGTCTGCCACTTGCCAGACATGTTGTTTGGGACTCAGAAGAGCTTTGATTGTTTTTTTCTTTTTGAACACTAGATTACTGAACCCACCCCAAAGGATTTTGATAGGCTAAAACCAGAGAATATGAGAAGGAATGTAGAACAGGGTTCGGTGTGTGGCATCTAGAATCGGGTTTGGCATATAGTTGGCATGATAAATGCTGATCCCCTTTGGTTGAGGGACATATCGTCTACAAGCAGCAATATGAACAAAGGAAGTTAGAGAAACTGGACAGGGAGAAGGGTTCTACCGTGGCGGAAAGGCCAGAGAGTATTCCTCCTGATAGCAGCCCGACCGAAATCATGTGCTTAGAGCGAGCCAGATTAGCATGATGAAGAACAGGGTCTCATTTAAACAGGACAGCTGTGATTGCCATTTGGAGAAAACAACAAATTAGCAAATGAAATAAAAATTGAGTGAATAAGGAGATGAATGGTTTGAGAAGGCCAAGGACTGGTCTCAAATCTCCCAGTTCTACAGCCTCTCCGTGTGTCCCTCACCCCCGCACCATGGATGGCTGCTGTCCATTAGGTTCCGGCGGCCAACACCACATTCCCCAGCTCCCCTGGCAGGAGGCAGGGCCACGGGACCAGTGCTGGCAATGTGCTCTGAGCAGACATGCCCTGTGCCTCTGCTGCAGCCCTGAAGAGCTGCTGTGGGACCCTCAGGCTCCTGATGACGAGGGAAGCCACATGGGAGGAAGACGGAGTCTCCAGTAGCCTAGCCTGCCCTGGAGAGATGGCTGGACCCCACGCAACAGTGACCTCCTCCTGAAAAGCCAACTCTGTGGTCTCAAGCTATTGACATCTGGGGGGTTTAGTTCACCCAGCACAGCCTGGTGGGACACAACCCCCTCTAATACCTTGTGGGCCTTGGCTAGGCAGCTAAGCATCTGCCTCAGAAACCTTGAGGGTCACTGCACTGACAGTTTGGAGATGGGGAAGACACAGATCAACTCAGAAAGACATAAAATACTGTTTTGCTACTGAATAAATGTCTCCAAAACATTCTGTCAAGGATGAACTATTTGCAAAAAAGAGTAATCATTAAGGGTTAAATCCCAGAGTTGGTATTTTGTAAGATCTGCTATCTGTTTCCTGCTTTGTTGGCAAAGTTATGCCTTCCCTACCTCACAGGCTTCTACAGGACCCAAGGGAAACACAGAAATGGAAGTGTTTCTATAAACTGCAGACGCATTACATAGTTACTCAACATCCATGAACCTGTTTTCCCATCTGTAAAATGGGCAAGATTAGAATGCCAATTTGACAAGGTTACTATAATTCTTAAAATAAGACCGGATGGTGTAAAAGTCTGTGGAACAAAAACTGGCACATAATTGGAGTTCAACTAACATTTACTCCTTGTGGGTGTGATATGGGCCGGTGACAGGTATGTCACCATGAAGGTGGGAGGGAATTAGACAGTGCTGGGGCCATGTGCTGAACTACTTTTTATATCCTCTGTGTAGTCCCCAAGTAGCAGTTTCTCCATCTGTAAAATGGGGACAGTAATACCTAGTTTGTGGCATTATTGGGAGAAAAATTAAATAGTCCACTGGCACCATAGACACTGTCTCACAAATCGCAATAATCTTAAATATTTACTGATTTTCACAATCAAACCACCATCATTTTTTTTGGGGGGGGGGGGGTAGAGTTTACTGATCAAACCCAGGGTCTCATGCTACATTCCCAACCCTTTTTATTGTGAGACAAGGGCTCACCAAGTTTCTGAGGCTGGCCTTGAAATTGAGATCCCCCGCCTTAGCCCCCTGAGTGGCTGGGATTACAGGTGTGCACTACCATGCCCAGCTCCTCCACATTTTTTTTTAAAAACTGTTTATAACTAGCTCTAATTTGAGCAGTGGCTGAGTGAAGTGGCAGAAACCTTGACTCATTAAACCTTGAAAAATGGATTTATACACATTTTTTTTTGCCTGTTTAACCATAATACAGTCTTAGAAAATTATAAGTTTCTATCCCCTGACCTCTCTCAAAAGGGAAAAGTCTTCATGTATAATGGCAACCATGAACAAAGCAAGATAAATGACCAGCAAAGCTCGGCACGACTTAATAACCCTCTGAGTATCTTTAAAAAGGACTTCTGTTATAATGGGAAAGGAACAGCTTCATAAAAGAATTTTCCAAACTTTTACAATTTAAAAATTAAAAAAATATATATTTTAAACCAAAACACGCTGAGGCTACGTACTCTGCCGCCGTGCAGCTCCACCCCATAGAAGTCGAGGGTCCGGGCTATGTTGATGTAGCAGGACTCGGCTTCCGACTGCTTCAGCCCACTGCAGAAGAAAGGTGCAAGTTCACCAAACAGGGAACGTCAACTCCAACTTTTAAAGGTTCAGAAAATCTAGAGGATTTGGTAACATTGCTCTGAGGTTAGGAAATGCCTTACATGGCCACTCTCAGACCACCTAACCCTAAACTCTAAGGAAACAGGTTTCCTTCGGTCGGTTGAGTTTGACTTCATCTAGACGTTGTTCACACAGTGGCGGTGCCCTGCTCAGGGGGCTCTGGGTCTCCAGCCACAGGGGCCCATCCCCTCTCATGGTTCCTGTCCTGATCTTCCTGGGTTACTCAATTCCCAGGTAATCTTGACATCTTTCTGCCTTTGTCTATTCTTTCAGCAGTGGCCTCAAACTTCAAATGACGCTGGCCCTGTGCTATTTTCGGATGCTGACTTCTGCCAGGGGAGCAATTTTGGGAGAGCGACTGGCAGTGCCTTCTTAGAAGGGACACTGGTTGCTTGCCCTTTGTTTTTATGGCCTTCCTAAGAAGTGAGCGGTCGGTCCCCTGAGAGCTAGCCTCCTGGGCCAGCATGGCTGTTGCCTGACAGGAACTGTACTGCTGCCACATAGCTCTCAGCCCAGTGGGGAAAGGGAGGAGGAGGCTGGAGCTGGGCATATCTGCTGTGGGGAGGCTGGCCCTAGACAGTCACAGGAGACTGGAAGCAGTTTTCACGAGCTGAACCCATGAATGTCCAGCCTGTCAGCCCCTTCTGGCCACCTGTCTGTCTACTCAACGATCCCTGAAGGAAAGGCCTGATTTATTCAACGTGGTACAGCCGAAAGGATTGCCTGGTGGGGGCAATCTGTGGGGCGTTCAGATTTCAAAGCAGGTGTTTCCTTTAGGAATTAAGTCGATTTCAACGACATCCTGAAAAGGAGCACAGCAGCCGTGTCCTACTCTGCTGGCTGGATTTTATACTGCAAAGAAATGCGGGTCATGCTCACTGTATCTGCTACCATCACAGCTCAGAGGTTCAAAAACCCCTAACATCTTCAAAGAGAATCATGAGCAAAAGGAAGGAGAGTATGCATTAAACAGAAGGTGATGCGATGTCTGAAAATATCCGACCCGAGCTCCCAAAGTAGGCCACCGAGCCCCTCACCTGTGCTGCTCGTGCAGAGACTCCACCTTGGTTAAAAAGTCATCGTTTTGATCTGGAATAAACTGGCTGTCAGCAAGGTAACCTGGATGATGTACGGAAGAATTAAAGTCTCCGAAATGAGCTATTAAAAGACAGAATGAGGGGGAAACTGGAATTAGTTCTGCCTTTTTGATACGGTCTGCATTTATGAGCAGCTACAGAGTCGTGAGAAAACATTAATTGGAAACATCTTCTGATGAGTTCCCCCCACCACCTGCAGCCTCTCAGACTCCACGCTGCTTATCTGAACCCTTGCTGGGGGCCAACACCGGCACACAAGACCGACCCAATTCTCATTCCCCCTGAGGACACACGGAGAACGCTGGAAGAAGGTGCTGGAATCTAGATCCTATCCTGACCCCGCGCCTCCTGCGCCCTGTTCAAGCACTAAGGTTGCCTCACACCCCTGGGGAAGGAAAGAGAAGGGATGCCACCAGGGGAGATGCCGTCCTCATGTCAGCCTCTGGGCACTGTCGCAGCCCAATGTTGGATCAGCTGGCTCTAAGAAATGAGTTTGTGCAGAAGAGAGGTCATGACTCACCCCCTGTGACCTGTGTAAACCCCCAGGATATGCTCAGAGGCCATGGGGGTAAGGGCTAGGTACAGGTGGGGCTAAAAGTCAGGGCCCAGGCAAGGCTGGTGGCAGGATTCCAGGGGAGGAGGACACATTCTAAGAGTGAAGGTGGGGAGATACACAGGGAAGAGGAAGAGGGGCTTTATGGAAGGATTTCCAGACTAACCCCTGTCCCAGATGACGCTTCTCCCTGAAGCCCTGTCCTACTGTCTGCAGACATGAAGTGCTGTCTATAAGGCCAGGTACTCTTGAGGGTTGTTCTGGGCCCAACTGGTACAAATACACATGGCTGCCCCAAGGACTCAGTCCACTAGGTGGACTCCGGCTGAAGAGATCAGGGAAAAGGACCAGGGCCAGGACCTGAGGACACCCAGTTCCCTCCTCCAAGACAGTTTTCTATTTCCATAAAAGCAGGAGAATGGCAGGGCACTTGCCTAGCACGTGGGGAGGGCCAGCACCACAAGAACACCACCATCACCACCACCAACAACAACAACAATAACAAACAGAAGCCAACCTCGAGCTCTGAAGAATAACTGACCTCATGCTTTATTTTCTTGAGTGTGACTAGTATGTTTACAGGAACCACTGAGATGCCTGGACACAGGGTACCAGGGAGAAAAGCATTAGCATCTCCTCATCCAAACCCTTCATGTTAAGGGGAAGAAATTGAAGTTCAGAGAGGAGTATGGATCTACTCCTATCATAGGGCCACTTGTCTGCAGGGTCAAGGCCAGAACCTGGGACTGGAGGCCCTCTCTTAGTGCCCTAACATTTTACCTGCCTTCCTGTCAGGTCAGCAGGCTGCTGCTGGCCATTTGATGATATCCCCCAAAGACCAACTAAATGCTACAAATGTCTTTCCTGGGCTTGAAAGCAGAATCCTATTTAGTTTTCCTCTGTTGGTTTCATGAGTTCATGGAGATCCTCCTGAATGACCTGGTTATCCATCACATTAGCTAACAGTCCCAACCAATCCCAGTGCCACTGTGCAAACATGAACTGCAAGGTTCTCTCCTGGGTCAAGTTACTGAAAGAACTTTTGAACTTAAACATGTTCTGAACCTCCCTGTTTTCCCTTCAACTCTTAAGCAGCTACTTTGTACAAAGCTCTGTGTTAACCACTAGGGGGAGACAAAGTTAAACAGCCACATAAACATTTGAGAACACTGGGTGGTTTCCACCAGACTTCAATGACGCCATCCCACTTGATTCCTGAGAACCCAGAACTGGGCAATGCTTTTATCCCCATTAAACAGGTAAAGAAACTGAGACTGAAAAAAGGGACCTGCTACTGCCACTACTCCTTGACCATTATTAATTGGGAGCCTAGACCTGACTAGAGTTCCTCCTCTTATCTGCCTACTTCCACTACATGCCCCAAACTCCAGAGTAAAGTTTTCCTATTTGTAGGAAAGCAACACATGCAAAAGTTAATTATAGCAGAACAAAAAGGAAATAAATGCTTCTGTGCAAAATACCTTGACTTTCAAGTTTCATGTTTTTTTGTTTTGGCTGACCAAAAATATGCAGGCATACTTTACTTTATGTAGCAAAGACAGGGTCCAGCCCAGGTTCCCAAGGTGCCATGTTTCCAGCTATCAAGCGGTTCTGCTGGGCAAGTCCTTTATACCTGCTATTATTTCAACTCCCACTTGCTCCCAGAGGCTCTTTATGGGCTCATTCCTGGGATGCTTTTCTGGACTCCCTCCCTCTCTCCCAAGCAGGATGGGGAGTATCACCTGAGCTCATTCTACATCAAACATCACCGGGTCCTCACCTGCCTCACTAATGGGGTAGAAAGCCCTCGGGGAAAGCAGCGAGCTTTCTCCTTCCTGAAGCTGGCACAGAGTTTGCATTTGGCAGGAGGTCTGAGAATATTATGGAATAAATAAGAATTTCTAAAAGCTTCATTCTTTGTGCCTCATAAACCCTTGACAGGTTACTAGCTATCTTCTATCATCATGTCTTTTTGGATACTTAACCTACAGATCATTTTACTTAAAAAAAAAAAAAAGTGCTTTTGGTTATCTAATCACTGGTAGGAGTTATAAGTCATCCATCTTGGGATAAGTCGGCAAACCTATCTGATAAAATGTAGACATAACTTTTTGATCTGGTAATTTCATATCTAAGAATTAATCTTCTAGACAGGTATGCACAGAAGTATGCAAATATATGTATTTATTTACTGAAGGTAGAGGAATATAAAATGCTTGCCTGACAACTCATGATTTTATTAGCATGGCAGTATTAATATTTCCACTGAAACCTGTATGCATTTTTTTTTTTAGGTCTAATCACTTTCTTTAGCCCTCATTTTATCAATCTTTTGTGGGGAGTGGGGGGCACTGACTATGGAAGGTTGGAACAGGATGCTTTAAATGTAGTTCTTAAATTTTACTCTACATTTAATGCTTGTAACAGGCAATTTTTCAGAATAGCTTTCTTCTGGGCAGACAGGAAAATACAGTAAGAGCTGACACTCGGCCAGGTTGTGGGCACTGATCTAAGAGCTTTACGTACATACGTGCTCGTTTTATCTTCACGCCCTGTGAAGTAGATGTTCCCATGTCCCCATTTGACAGGTGAAGAAGCTGTGGCCTGGCAATCTCAAGGTCACACAGGGTAAGTGGAAGAGCCAAGACACAGGTAATCTGGCTTCAGTCCATGTTCTGACTCAGTCAGTGATGATCAAACCATAAAGAATATTTAGCTAGACCACCTTTGCATGTGTTACTAAATTTGAACCAAATAATATTGCAGCCATACTGCGAATTACCGTCACCTCCATTTAACGGGCGAGAGACCCAAGGTTCAGAGAGGTAATACCATGTAAGCAGCAAATGGAGCATGCAGGATTTAAGTGTGGTGACTGTCTCCCTTCTAATATCCGTGTCTCTCAAGCCTGGAGCTCCAGCTATGAACACCCAGCTCACTCTGATGTGGGCAAGGTTGGTTTCCTCAGCTGATCCACCCAGCAGAGGTGGGTCTGCAAAACCCAGAGACCCACAGGAGTGCACCCTGACTGATGGCTGCGCCACCTGCTATATGGCTACCACACGCCAGGTCTGTTCCAGTTGTACTGCAGGGAGAGGGAAACTTTCAAATCCACCCAGGACTCCCTGGGCAAGCTCTGAGTGTCCCACTTAGGCAGGAGGAGACGCGGCGAGATGGAGACCAGTGCTGGGTCTTGTCTTACTAGCAAGCAGGCTTGCTGTTTGCTTAAAGGCATGAAGTTGCCCCTGATGTCGTGTTCCCCCACTTCCTGGTTCCATGTATGTGGGCAGGTGAGCTGCAGGCCCAGCTACCTTGCTCTTCACCTTCATCTCTCTTATTTCAGTACTTTGCTGCTAGGGAGGAGGCAGAACTGGGGCTACCTCAACAGCCCCTGGTAACCCTCTTTTGCTATTTTGCTTCTTCTGAGCCTAGAGAGTGAATAATTTGGCCAGTGCTTACTCTTGAGACCTGACCATCTTGCTCCCTTAATTGCCCAACATGCAGTCAATGGAGGGGGTAAGAGGCCAAGATGGTTTGGGACTTATGGCAAAGGTAGAGGAGATTTCTTAAGACTTGAGCTATCTACCCTATAACTCTACACAGCAATATGCCTGTGTACTGTACTGGAATCACACAGCTAACTATAAAGTGACATTTTGTCATCCATCTGACTATGTACTCTTTTCACTGTGCAAACCCAGCCTCTATCACAGGACCTGACATGGAGTACCTGCTTGATAAAGTTGTGCTAATTGAACAAGTGGGTTTCTACTCCAGCTTAAACCAGCCCTGACAGAAAATTCCATTTAGACTTTCTATCCAGTATGGCAGCCACTAGCCACGTGTGGCTAGTCCAATCGGAGATGAAAGCATAAGTTCCAGACTGGTTTTCAAAGACAGTATGAAAAAAAATGTAAAATACCTCATTAATAATTTTTATATTGATTACATATTAAAATAATAGCTTGAATACGCTGGGTTAACTAAAACATTAAAAAGTAATCTGTCGGGCTGGGGATGTGGCTCAAGCAGTAGCGCGCTCGCCTGGCATGTGTGCGGCCCGGGTTCGATCCTCAGCACCACATACAAACAAAGATGTTGTGTCCGCCGAAAACTAAAAAATAAACATTAAAAATTCTCTCTCTCTCAAAAAAAGTAATCTGTCCTGTTTCATTTTACTGGAAAACTTAGAACTACATGTACGGCTTTTAAATTGTACTTCTAATGGACAGCACTTCTATAGACCGGTTCATAACCTATTAGTTATGAACCTATTTCATTAGTTATAATGAAACTCTAAAAATAAATTCATAAGCTCTCAGCAGTGTTTCAGACAGGCACCAAGCATGCTGCAGGAGTGACTTCCAGCAAATTCCTTGACCTAGCTGGGTCTCAGTTTCCATGTTTATAAGAGATGACCGGTATAAATATTGCTCCACTGGGGTTTGTATGGCTATCAAATCCAAATACCTGGGCAAAGCCTCTGGAAAATGCCATGTGTGGTAGCTGTCTGCTGCTTTATGACTCCCTTTGGAGAAGACACCCTGCCAGAGCTCATCCACGCCCTCCCCTGGTGCCGTTTCCCTTCATCCAACATCCCCAAGCTGGGGGAGCATCAAAGTCAGGGTACGAGTGGGACTATCTGGACAGCCAGACATATACTGTCCCTGGGGAAGAGGGACTTGGTCACAGAGGAGGAGCTGGTGGCTTTCTCCATATACTGCTCAGAACAACCTGGCCCTCCATGCCACACTCCCTTGGTGACTTACATTGTACTGCATAGGATGCAAGAACCACAGCGGAGTTCAGAGGGCAGGTCAACCTGTCAGAAGAAAAACGTCTTAGCAAGATCACACGGTCCAGGAGGGCCCAAAACGCTCATAGGTCTTTCTTGTATTAACCACAGAGGACAGCATGACTCATAACAGAGACAACTTTATGATACATTTAATCACTCTTTGAGATTGATTGTAACACACTAAGGATTTTTCTTTTAATAAAAAGAACTTTTTGTGTTTAAAATAACCAATACCACAGATACCAGGAAGCTAGACAGAGTTCTGACACTGGCCAGCAGGTTGGTTGGTCAGATTCATGTCTGAGAGGAACGGTGAGGAACGTAAACTCTTACATCAGTGGGCAGCCTTCAAATCTTTCTAGTAAAGATGCAACACTTTTGGTAGGGCTCTCCGACTGGATTCTTGGGTTCTAGAGACTATGATTTTTGACTATCCCCTTTCTCACATCCTCTTAGAAGGGAAAAGTGAAAAAGCATTTTGCATTTTAACACTTGCCATTCCCTAATTAATTAATTGGCTATAATGACTTAAGGTTCCTGTATATATTTGCCCTCCTGAAGATCTATAAGGTTCCACGATTCGTCTGCCTGTCTTCTACCATCTCCAAGAAATCCAGACTTGGGGTGGACTTGTTCTCATTTTCTTCAGAACTCACTTGTCCTCCCAAATGCCCTCCTTTCACCAGTGACTCCACCTGTCAGTCACATTTGGAGTCCTGACTGCTCCTTTCCTCCATTCACCTTTGGCTCCATGATCTGTCTCCCTGGGAGCTCTGCCAGCAGACGTGGGGCACAGCTGGATGGGAGCACGGGCTGGGAAAGTGTGAGGTAGAAGGGATCTGATAAAGGGAGGCATCCCCAACAGCAACACCAAGAGGCACTGAGATTTTAAAAGCATTTTCCCAGCATCGCAGTGGGAAGCGGAGAAAACATGAAGTTTCCATGGCAGCTTATTAAGTTCCCAAGATGTGAAACATCCCGCCCTCTGACTGATCTGCTGGACCCTCCAGGGGTCCCCCTTCCATCCCCTGCACCGTGTGCTGATCCCAAGACTGCTTACAAAGGCAGCATTCCCTAGCAGAGAGGCCTCCACCTCCCCTCAAGTAACTCTGGCTTCCTGCTGGCACTTGTGAGTGTCTCTCCAAGTCCATGTCCACGTGCACGTCCCAGGGACGCTCACTGTCCAGTCAGTCACCTGGAGATGCAAAAGGCGGAGGGAGAGCAGGCAGTACGTGACAAGCATCAGCCATTCGCTCTCCTCCCAAGAAGGGCCTCGCTGCCATCCAGCCAGCGTCCTTGCTAGAGGAAGAGCAGGTGAATGGGACCTGGGGGACACCTGAGGAGGAAGCTAAGGAGATTCAGTCTGGGTGGAAGCAACAATTTTACAAAGTCACAAGGAAAAACGTTCCCAAAAAGTGGTGTCCGAAACATACACTAAAGAACACCAAGAGCACTGCTCTCGGCCTCTGCTTGTTCCTAGGTATATTTCTTTCTGTCAGGTCCAGGGGAGTGGGTGAAGAGCGTGGACTGATCACCCCTCTAGGCAGGAAGGAGCTGAAGCCTGCAGTACTGCCAGCTCACAGTTCAGACCCCATCAGAGGATCTGAGGTCCCAAGAAACGCCAACTGCCCCTCCAAGCCTATCAAACATCCTGGCCCGATAGCCTGATTCACACCTGAGAAGCAGGTGTGACAGCAGAGAAGCTCTCCTTGGAGAGGGGTGAGGGCCTCCTGATGAGGAAAGCCAGGGATCTAAGCCAGATGTGCTCCTCAACAGACGCCTACTGATTCACACAGGAAGACAAAGGGATGTTTTGCTGGGAGAAGGCAAGAGGAGGACAAGCACTGCCCGGCACCTGTGAGTGAGTAACAGCTGCAGAGGAGGCAGCCCTGGTCTTATCTAACTGCCTAGTTCAGGACCTGTCTCCTAACAGGTACCAGCAAAGTATCTGGGAAAACAAAATGTGCAGAAGAGAGGGCAGAACAGGTCTGTGTGGCCATAGAGGAAGCCTGGGCCCCAGGAGAGGAGTTATCTTAAAATGTTCTGCCTCTCAGAAGGGTGAGATCCCCACCACTGGAGTGACCAAGCAGGTGCCCCAAGGCCACAGTTTGTGCTGGCAAGGGGATGTGCTCCTACCTCGAGGAAAAAACTGGCCATGTCACCAGGGTTCTGCATTCTGTGACCGATACACAGTCCACAGGTCTGGCTGTCCTCTCCCCAAGGAGGCTCTTGTTTCTACCTGTCCTCCTGGCCCTCCAATCTCCCCGCCACCCCCCAGACCTCTGGCTGGCAGGTCTGTAATGCTTCCCCCGGGAATGTCCACTCTCCTCCATCTAGACTGAACCCTGGCTTCCTCCAGTCTTCTCTTGTGTGCACTGACATGATTGTTGTAGGTGTGGTTCTCGCCACATTCCTCCTGCTTTTAAAAACCTTCGACTGTTCTCCTCTGCCTGGTGGATGCGAGATGCATGCCCATGTTTGACATGAAGAGTCCTCTCTGTTCTCTCGCATGCTGCTGATGGGTGGTTTCTAGCTCGGACTATGTGTGTATGTGTGAGTGTGTGTGTGTGTGTGTGTGTGTGTGGGGGGGGTGATGGCTTCTTGCTGCCCAGCGAAATTTGACTCCTCACTTCTCTACTCTCCCAACTCTGGCTCACCCCAGCAATCCACAAAGACTTTTCCAGCCGGCACCAGTAGAAGGAGCTCCTCAACGCCATGACAACTGTGGTCTCCACTGCCAACGCTGGTCCTAATTGCTTCATGGGCTCCTGTCTTGTTCCCCCAACCAGACTGCCAGCTGTCTTGTGGTACAGCGTCCTGGTGGCCTCTGATGACCCTTCTCTGCAGGAATAAGCTAACAGGTGGAGTGGGGGGTGTTTCTACTAATTTACCTGCTGCAGTTTCTTTTATGAGTCAAGAAAATACTAAGGATTTGGAAGCAGCGGCTCTGGGACCACTTGCTTGGAATTCCATCCCCCTTTTCTGGGCTTGTCTCGGAGAGCTTCCAGTCATTTAGATGGTCTGGATACACAAGAAGTGCTGAATCACAGACAGATGCTCATGTCTTTTAAGCAAAAGCCTTCCCAGTGAGAAAATGAATCATCCAAGATACCAGGGGCTGGAAGAGGACCTAAATTGGGCCTGATCTGCCTTCCTGAATGAAGCCCATTTTATATTCTGGGTCTCTCCCTCCCATTAAGATTTCTCAGGTCTTTACCAGAAAGATAACTGCACCTTTGAAATAAAGCGGAAATGGCATAAAATGAAGCTTATCGATCTTTAGCCTCTCTAAGCCAAGACTGAGTTGAAAACAGATGTCCAGAGCCTGATGTCACACAGGATGCTGTTTTCAAAGTCCAGTCATTGTCAAGATTTAATATTGTTGTCAGAAATACACACTCATTAGATTAAAACCATGAATTTGGCTAGTCCGACAGGAAAAGGAAAATGCAAAATGCTCGTTACCTTCCTTCACAAACATCCATCTTCAGTTGTAAGAAATACAGATGCCTACAAAACAAGGATTTCCATTAATTCATACTCAAACTAAAAGGAGCAAAAAAAAAATTTTTTTGATGCATCAAGAACAAGACCTAGACATCTGAAAAACAAAATAAATACATAAAAATACATTTTGACGTATTTGAACTGGTAGCAGGTCTAGGACATCAGGAGCTACTCTGCATATGGTAAAAGCTGCCCCAGTAGTAAGGACTGCTCACGTTGGTGCCTATGTATGGATGGTGGGGACCACCCCAGGGAAGGTTGAGCAGGGATGTATAAGCAACCCACCAGTGACTGGCTGTTACCACTGGTACTGCTGCAGGAAGTGCCCCTCCCTCAGCCTGGTACTTCCCAACCAGGCCCTGGGACCCACAGCGTTCTCCACAAGCAGCCCCCGCACGCTGACGGGGCCACTGTTCCCAACACGGAGCCAGCATTCGCACACCCACGTTCCCTCTGCATGAAGCTGCTAAGAGGAGGAGGGTCTATGAAGACACCGCCTTGGCTCGGGTGCAAACGCCCAGCTGGGCCTTTTCCTGTGTCCCGGGAACTGTGGGTGCTGGAGCAGAAGCATAAACATGGGTAAAGGAGAAGGTGCCAGCACCTCCACGCTGTGCCCTGCGCTCCTCTGTGAGCCACCAGTAGACTCAACCTCAAAAGCCTGAACCTGTTTTTGCTGACAAGTTGTCACAAGCCCCTCAGCCCATGAGTCTGTGCCACTGTCACAGATGGAAGCAGGGAGGTCCAGAGCAGCACGGGGCAGGCCAGGCAGTACCCTGGAGACACTTATATTTAGGGATGCGCCACACATGTGACTCTTGGCTGCCAGCTCCCACTCTTTTTTAAAACCCAGATTCAAATGGGATAGACATTCCAGGGTCTGGCCAAGACGACAAAAGGGAAACCTTGAAATCTAATATAGACAGGGCAGAAGGGCTGAGGGGCAGGACAAAGAGCATTCTGGCAAAGTTAACCACTCACTCTCATATTCCTTGGGTTTGATAAAAGGTCAAGGGACTGGCTTTTTGAGATGTGAATGCTTCAAACGGTATCACAGCCTCATAGCCGCACAGTTCTGAGCTGTGTGCCTGGGACTCTAACCTTTCCCCTCGTTTCAGCCTCCTCATGGTGCCGTCCGTAGGTACCATCACCTCTACCATTACTACAGATAGGGAACTGAAGCTCAGATAGGGTACGTCAGGTCGGCTATGACTTATTTTTATCTAGAAACTCATGGGAAAAATCTCAGTACGCAACAAATCTGTTATGTGTTTAAAGACAGACAGGCTTAGGGTCTATGTCATAACTGATGTTACTACTTTGATTATAATTATCATCACTACCCATAATGGGTGGAGCACCTGGCATTCAGAGACGGCACTGGGTACATGCCGATCATGCCTCTGCAATACTGGACTCCCTATCTTTCCCACCTAGGAGAACAGGATCAGTCCTTTCTCGTCTGTTTCTATGTTTATCCAAGCTGACATTCAACCAGAATTAAGTGTTCTCTCCTCCTACAGGGCTCCTGACAGAAAAAAAGGGAGCAGGGAGAGTTATAGACAGTCCACGGGTCAAGTTGGGCTTGTGCTGAAGAGCCCAGCGGGTCACTGTGCTTTCCTAGAGATATAAATAAGAGCACGACCATGAGATCGCCATACACCAGATGCCACTTCATCATAGGCTGAGCGAAGTTTATGAGTCAACCCTATAACATCACACGTGAAGAAACTAAAATCAGGAGCTGCAACCCAAACTTAGGTGATTCCATAGGGATCGTGAAAAGGAGTTTAAATTTTAGAGATTGACAGTAAGTGAAGTTGTTTAGAACGATCTAAATTTATCAGAAACAGCAGTTGTGGAGGCTCATAATAAAAAAGGCATTGGTTTAGCAATAAGAATAAAGGAAAGTTATTTACAAGATAAACTCAGCATGCCTAAATCTGGAAATGTAATGACCCCTATTGAAGCAAATCCCATCCATGACCTCAACTTCTGAAAAAAAGCACTGAATTTCTCCTGAAAAAGAAACAAAATCAACAAATACTATCTCTATACTCCTCTGACTCTTGGGAACCAAATTTTCTTAAAAGGGCCCTCAATTTTGGATAAGCTTCAAAGCTCAAGCCCGATAAGATACTATATACCCAGAAACAGGTCGAACCTTTCATGTCAATTTTTAAAAAGCATGTGAATTACTGGTGGAATCCTGACCCAGCATAAGACAACTCTTCAGTCTCAGCTGCCCACCAGCTCTAGAGGAGCCACAGGGATGGCGGCTGCCATGTCTTCTGCCACACTGAGAAACCTGGTGCCTGTGCCCCAGGAAGTAGTAGCTAGGTTCTGCTGCACACAGCAGGGAACACTCACCTCTCGGTGGGGAGTGGGCCTTCAGACGTGAACTGGAGAACTTTAAGAGACAGGGACAAACTAATTCTTACCTGGGACTTGGGGAAGGACAAGTGTTAACCTATTGCTCGTCTGGCGCTGAGGTCTGCCTCTCTGGAGCCCCCACTCTCACCGCACCGGGCCATAACTCCTGACCAGCACATCCAACTTCCCTCTTCCTACAACTCCTCCCCGGGGAGCTGACAGCAGCTTCACTTCTCCCTGAGCCTTCTCTCCACCCAAACACCTGCCCCTCCAAAGATGGGAGTGCTCAGCAGGTAGCCTCTCAGACCCAGGAGAGCAGCAAGCTTCTTTCCCACAGGGTCACAGGTGAACAGCCAATGACCACGAGGGTCCTGGAGAGGTACTCCTGGGTCAGCCAGCCCTGGAGATCCTGCCCTCCGCTTCTGTCACTGGAGAATTCTACCATGCCAGCAGGTGCCACAAATCTGGGGCCTCAGCGCCACAGGGAGAAGACAAGGAGATAGTGAGAGTCACCAGTTTGGGCAGAACTGCCCACACCTGGGACCAGAGCCCATCAGCTCATGGTAAACCCAATTTAGTGGGTCAAATGTATTTTGAATTAGTGTGTGGTGTGTGTGTGTGTGTGTGTGTGTGAGTGTGTGTGTGTGGTGCTGGGGATTAAACCCAGGGCCTTGTGCATGGGAGGCAAACACTCTACCAACTGAGCTATATCCCCAGCCCTTTGAATTGGTTTTATAGAACTTTTACTTCAGCAATTCGTATGTGTGGGTACTGCATTACAACACTGTACACAGGAAATGTACATAATGGGATTATGCATACCTACGTGTAGACATAAACGTAATCACACACCTATGACACACAGTGTAAATGACATATGCCCCCCCCCCCACATATGTACACACACATGATTATTCATGTATTTTTTTTTTTTTAAGCTGGGACCTCACTATATTGCCCCAGCTGGTCTGTAATTCCTAAACCCAAGTGATCCTCCTGCTTCAGCCTCCCATTGGCTGGAACTATAAGTACATGTCCTTAGACCCAACTCTTCATCTCATTGTGAAGTATCCCTCAAACAAAATCTGTTGTTTAGTATTGGTCTGGGGAGGCCCTGGTAGGGTCATGTGGAACACTTCTCATAGACAGTGTCACCAGTGTTGTGTTCATCAGCTTATGAGCTGAGTGGCTCTGCCTCAGCAGGTTGGCCAGGGTGAGAGCTGTGGAAGGAGGACCCCAAGCAGGGTACACTTCCTCACCATGACCCAGGGAGTCACGCTGAACCCCGCCCTGTACACAGGCTTAAAGTTTAACAGAACAGCAAAGAACCGAATTTCTAGTGTCTGCTACTGTGGGGGGAAGGGGTACACAAAGAGGCAAGAGAGTAGTAGACTGACACTTATCCAGTAAACATATTAAAAGCTAAAATGTGATTGTGTGATCGCCATTAAAAAGAAAATGGGGCTGGGGTGGTGGCTCAGCGGTAGAGCGCCCGCCTAGCATGTGTGAGGCACGGGGTTCGATCCTCAGCACCACATAAAAAATAATAAATAAATAAAATAAAGGTATTGTGTCCATCTACAACTAAAAAATAAAATGTTAAAAGGAAATGAAGAAAGGGAAAATGAGACTGCCCTCAGCCAGTGCCACCTCGGTGGGATGGTCTCGCGGCCACCGTGAGCCTTTTCCTCCTGAAGCAGTTTTTCTCCCTAAGAACAGTAAATGGATGGGTAATAAAGGGGCTGATGCTGCCACGGAGCAGGGTGGGGTGGAGTGTTGGCACAGCCCACGCTCTGACAGCAGCAGCTTTCCTGCACTGCCCACCCCCATTCTAAATGCCCTGTTCCCCACCCAGAAATCCCACCTGCCAGCACAACCAGAGCCAGCACAGACTGGAGCCCTGGGGGGTAAACAGCTCCCACCAAGGCCTCCTTCCTTATCTGGTTCCCAAGCTTCCTGCACCTGCTGGTTCAGTGACAGACAGGCTGAATCCAGCCTGTTCCCCTCCCAGCCCCCGCAAACTGGGACCTGATCAAAACATCCGATTACAGCAGTGTCTTGTCATCCTCCAGGGCCTGGATTCCTGTTCTTCAGAGATATTGTGCTATGTGACCTGCAGACAATTGTTCTACACATTTGTCTCCTAAACCCAGCATGCATCAGTGGACAGGCTTTCCATTGTCCACTGATGAGAGGCCAGAGACAGGGAGGGAGAGGGAGGAGGGAGAGGGAGGAGGGAGAGGGAGGAGGGAGAGGGAGGAGGGGAAGCAGTGTGCTGGAAATGGCACCAAAGCAGGTGAGAGGAAGAGGCCCACAGTGTAAAACTAATTCACCAATCAAAATTTCAATATATGTACCCCAAACTCTAATTGCAATCATAATTGATGGTGCAGTTATACCCAAATGAAGTCATCTGACCATTACCATAAAATGAAGAATACATTTTATACACTAAGTAGAAAACTTTAAGAAAATGTTATTACCTGGTTTGTTCTTGCTGCAGTGTGTTGGGATCAGGTATAAAAAATCTTACTCGAAAATGCAGGGTACAGGGGAAACCTCCTACAACATTTTTCAAAAACACATTAAATTCCTCCTTTACAAAAAGTCAATGCATACAAGTTACTACTCTTCCCATAAACTCAACCACAGTTTTAAGCTCAACCACAGTTTTTCCATTATAAGAGGAGTAATTTCCAATAAGGAGTGCATAAATTACTGTTCCAGAAAACTCCCAAGTCTACAAAACATGAAGCATTCGTACAACACAGAGGCTGAACATTGACGCAGCAGAGGCTGTGGCAGTGCTAACTTAGGCTGTGTTCACACAATGCACTCCATTATCTCTACCAGGAATTCTTAAGATCTTTAAATCAATTCACAAAGTACTAGCTTACATTAATATAGCGATGAAACATTTTCATGTACATTCCAGAATGTAAACACCGTTATGACTGTGAGTACGCTAAGCTGCTACTGATAGATGACCCCATTTTACAGATAAGCCAACTGGCTTAGAAATGTGACTTGCCTTAGGTCACACAACTAGTGAGAAACCCAGAATTGGAGCACCGAGTTTTGTGACTGCTATTCCACATTTCAAAGTCATTTTTATACTGGAAAACATTTCATGCTTTCGATGCAACGTGGATTAAAATGATTAATATGTAGTGAGTATGACACAAAGCACATACTCAAATATGACTGTGCATCAACACCAGTCAGTTCACTTGTGTGGATAAAATTAGTCCATTTCTTCTGATCGACATGGCAACAGAAGATAAGACGGTGTTGCTAAGATCCCAACATCGTCTTGTCAACTTCGCCCTCCCTCTGCACTTGGTGAACATGCTCTGCTCTGGTCCCGTCTCTGTGCTCAGCACTGTTTGCTCTGAAGTCAAGTCCTTCCCGAGCCTGCTCCCCTCGCTGGTCCGTGGCTCGCCTCCTTCTACCTTGGTTCATCCTAGGCTCCACCCTCCCCTCTCTTTAGGACCGTCTGTCTTCACTGTTTGCTGGTGTCCAATCTCTGATGGTAGATGTACCCCTGAGTGCACCTCTGCGCGTGTGCCTGGGAGCCAGTGGGTGGTGCTGCAGCTGTGCGCAGGCTGACCATGAGCGGTCAGGGGACAGCAAAGTCCTCCCCTGCCCTGGGATGCTCTTCCACCCCTCCTGGCCCCCATTCTGCAGCTGGGCACTTTTGTTGTCTGGGGCCTGGTCGCTTTGACTTTCTCGTCCTCCTCTGTACACCCAAGGCCTCCTAGCTTAGTACATCACAGAACTCTTTCTCCGCTTGTCTCTTTCCACACGTGGCTGTGAGATACTTGGGGGTGGGGTCCAAATCTGCTTTGGGCTGGATTTCCACCACTTAGCCCAGTGTCTGCTTGCTCAAGAATGAGTTAGTGAGAAAACCAATGACAGCCTGTGTCCTGCCTCGGGTGTGCTCATTCCCATGAATTCAAACAGTGGCCTGGCTCCCTTGGGTGCTCCTGAACACTAAGGTCACGATCACAGGAGGGAAGAACTCTGAGGTGGCTCCAGGAGAGGGCAGCATTAGGGTCAGAGCCACGACTACTTCTGTCTGCTCTTCCCACCTGGGGTCTGGGGCAGGCGGATAGGGCGTTATGTGTATGTACACTTGTGCACACAAGTTAACCTGCCCGATACCCCGCAGCCACTCGCTGGCCACCTCCTGTCTGTCAGGCACCAGGAGCAATGCGGGGAGGAATGCAGCAAGGATCCAACCCTCAAGGAACCATGGTTCTGAGAGGAAGCCAAGGGCACAAGACCATGAGACGAGGGCGAGGGTGTGCAGCCGTGAAGAAGGCAGTGCAACGGGAAGGGAAGACAGAGGGGTCCCGGCTTCTGGTAGGAGGAGATGGGGTCTGGAAGCCTTGATGCAGAGCAGGAGTTAGACACAGGACAAGGGCATCCATTCCCGGGGGAGGGAACAGATTGAGGGAAGGCACTACACACTGGCCAGGTCTGTCTGGGGTCTGAGGGGCCCTGATGGGAAAATGACAGTATGGTGGAAAACCAGGCTAAGAGCTTGAGATCAAGGCAGAGTATGGTTGAGGCGTGGCTGGGAGCTACCTGGGAGCTGACCTACAGCACGGGGAGCCACTCGTGGTGGGAACGCCGAATTGTGAAAAGATTGATCTTTTACGTCTGAGACATTATCTACCCAGGGCTCAGCTTCCAGGAACTGTAACTGTGATGGTGGAAGGTAAAAGGGTTGGTCTGTGTCTGTCTTTCCCACCCAGCTCTCACCCTGGGCTGAGAAAGGCCTTCCTTCTTCCCCTGAGATACCTACTCTGGTCTGTCCCCTCCTCGCCCACAGCTGGCTGAGCACCCTGAGGCTGATCTGCGGGCACGTCTGCTAACTCAGAAGTCAGATGGGGAGCAGGCAGCTCACCCCTGTCTCCCGAGTCCCCTGGCATCTGGGTAGCAGGTGTGACAGGCATCCTGCTGACTGGAAGAAACAAGTCCCCACACACCAAATGTTGGACTGAAAAGAAAAGATCACACCAACCTTTCAACTGCTTCCTGATGGGTTTGCTTGACTCAAGCCATCTCTGTTGGTAAGAAAACACAAGCTATAAAACCAACCTGGGCAGGAGCTCAGCACATGTTACAGGCTGGCACTTACGGGGGAGTCCACCGAGTCGCCGCCATGCTGCAAACCAAAATACTCCTTTTCAGTCACGCCCAGGTGGGTGTATGCCATGTCCAGCAGCGACTGGCCAGTGTCTTGTTTCTAGGGGGAAAATAAATAAATAAATAATGGGAAAAATCTGAAAGCAAGTTAAGAACTGGTGGTGACAGCCTCTCCACTGCCCACTGAAGGGAGAGGATACAGCCAGAGACTTGACACACGTGCGCTTCCCACAGTAACAAAAGCGATCTCAAATTCCAAGTGACATGGCTGCACAGCGCATTCGGGAGGAGGGCTGAGACCACACTAGGTAAATTCCACGTGAGACGGTATGAGCTGGCTTTCTGAACTCTCCTTCTCCCCAGCTGAGGCTTCCGGGGGTTCTGAACCAGAAAACCCACACATTATGACCACAGCAACCTCACCGTGACCTGACCAAGCATCACCCGCCACGAACACCAATCCAGGGTCAGCTTCTGCTGGCTCCTGGGGACGCCAGTGGCTCCTGCCCCTGCAGGGACCCAGGAGTGTGCGCCCGGGGGGAGGAAAACTCTTGACCAGCTGCTAAAAATACTTGAATGCCATTGGAAATACCCTTAGAGTGAGCTGGCCTATGTCGCCCTGTGGGATTATCTGCCTCGCTGAGGAGCCGGCAGGATGTTCAGCCACGCTTCACTCCACAGTGGGACAGCACCGCTTCACCCCACGGTGTTTACAGAAAGGCGCGTGTCAGCACGGGACAGAGCCAGGGTCAGCGTCCCTCTCCTGCTGGCCGTGGAAGCAGTGGCTGTAACATGGATTATTAAGTACCGCTGAGTACGCTGAACCCACGGGGACGGTACAAACGGTCAACTCCCCTGGGGACAAGCAGAAGCAACCCCTGATATCTGGGTTTGCAAGGACGACAAGGCCGAGGACGACACACACTTCTAGGTGTGCAGGCACTTGAGGCCGACGGCTGGGTGGCCCGGCACAGCGAAGGCATGAAGGCACGGTAGAAGGGTGGGTGGGGTGGGGCGTGGCTGCAAAAACAGCCGGGCATGTTCGGGAAATCACAAATTCTATTTTAACAGGCAGGTTTCTCAGGAATCCTTTGAACCAAAACATTTAATATGGGGACAGCGTGAGTCAGAAATGGACAGGGCACAGACGCGGCAGGAGCAGCTCTTCTTTTGAGTGCCTGACAACAGATAATGGACTTGGAAATAGGTCACGGTGACGGGGACCAGGAGAATTCCAAGACAGTCAGGCCCTTCCCGCGGCCTCACAGGATCTGTTCAGCAAGGGGAACTCAAGATACAACATCTCCCAACACACCTCTGGCCTGTCCTGCCCCCTCGTCCAACCAGGGCTTCGCCCACCCCAAGAGAATCTGGGTGGGTGCGGGAAGAAGGATCAGGCCCCACATCCCAAGTCCTGGGACACTCGCCCTCCAAGCTGTGGGGAGCTCTCCTAACCCTAACCCAATCCCCGAGTTTACAACTGTGAGGATAGTTCCACAAAACTGACACAGGCTCATTAAAGTAGGTTGAAAATCATTATCGAGGGCTTCGATGCCCTTACATATGTACATGAAATATATACAAAGAGGTAGAGACGTTTTTTCAAACACTGTTGTCATTCACCTATTACTTTTCTCAGAGGAACAGAACTCTAAAAGCAGTATCAGCTGGGCACAATGGCACACACCAGTTACAGTAATCCCAGTTACTCGGGAGGCTGAGGCAGGGGGATCACAAGGTCAAGGTCAGCCTGGGCAACTAAGTAAGACCCTGCCACAACATAAAATATAAAACAGTGCTAGGGATGCCGCTCAGTGGTGGGTCACCTGCCTAGCACATGTAAAACCCTGGGTTTCATGCCTTGTAGAAAAGGAAAAAATTGAAAAAAATAAGTAAAAACATGGTATTTATTTCAAAAGTCACCCTAAGTGGTATACTTGTTATTCAGTTTAAGTTTTGACAGGCATCCCACATTTGGGACAATGAGACTTAAAAGGTCAGTGCATCAAAGAGCTCTCTGCTCCCCTTGTTATTCATCACTTAAATATGACTTCATATTACATGAAGTGACTTACTGGAAGTCTACAAGCAGCAGATATAATACCACGTGCACTTTTCACATCTGACCTCCAATATTTGTGGTAATTTTGCAAAACAGCCATCACCAGCCCCCTCACCAGGGAGCAGCAGAGGCTGCTCCATGCCCTGCACCATCACCCTGACTCGGGTCTCACTGACACCAGGGCTCAAGTGCTCCCCGCACCACACCTCCAGTGCATGATTCCAGCACACGGGGATCAATTATGTATGATTCACCCAACTCTAGAAAGAAATCGAAATAGAATTAAAGACACATTTCTAATAAGGACTGGCCTGTCCCCACCACACAAGAGGTCATCTCTTCTGCCCTGGCTCACTGCCAGCAGCCCCCGGGCTCCTGGCTGGGGTGGGAATGGCTCACATCCGGCCAGCTTCCCCGAGGATGCTCCTAGCACAGAGGGTCCAGGCTAGGGTCGGGGGAGACTGCGCAGCCATCCCACGGGCAGGAACACACCTGCCCACCCAGGGACGCCACCTGTCGAGTTCCACGTGACTAAACACTCAGGGTCACTCCAGGGGAACTGGGCTGCATGAAATAACCACACAAGAGACAGAAATACCTTTTTCTTTGGGGGTTCTGTGATGGCTCCTCTGACCTTAAGGGTCCGCAGAAAGAGACAGAGCCCATGTGCTGATTCCTTTTATTGAGGAGAAGCCACTCAAATGAGGCAGGGGGTCAGGTTTCAGGGGGCTGAGTCTAGCTTCATGATGTCCACTGTTAGCAGGTTGAATGACATCGAGCAAGGCCACACCCAAGGGCAGAGCAAGAGAAGGGGACCCACAAAGGGCATTTCCATGGAACATTCTATCCTAAACAGGGCAAGGGGTAATATCACAAAGGAACAGGAGAGCATAGCTCCACCCACGGGGCTGCGGGAAGGCACGCCCATGCACGAAGGCACATTTGCGTTTTCTCTATCCTCAAGATCAGGGCTACCGTTTGCGGTTACTTAAAGCAACCAGATCATGGGGTGACCGACAGGGCCACACAGATCAGGAGAGGAAGCAAACCTGGTCACATGCTATGTCGGCCTCCCACACAACGCGAGGGACATTCTGATCCGCAGCCAGGCCCTCGGGCTCCGCCAGGTCAGCTCTGGACCAGGCCACGGCAAGCTCCAGGTGGCGGCAGCAGGAGAACAATGATGTGACCATCGAGAGCTTCTGGGCCTCTTCTGAGACCCACAGCCAGCGCCCCAGGCAGGCCCTGGCCTTGCCTGCTCGTCACAGGGCTGGTCTCCTTCCGACAATGCATTTATACCCGAGTTCCTCAGACACTGCTGCGTGGTCTCTCCTGCCTCCCCTGATGGTCCCCCTCAGCCTCCCGATCGCTGCCACCTCTACCCCCTTTAAACCTCAGGCCTCAGCCCTGTCTTCTATGGGAAGGCACTCACTTCTCAGGTGGTCTCACCCAGCTTCATGGCTTGACCCACTGCCTCCACCTTGGTGAAATCCGCATTTATAACCCCAGCCTGACGGGTGCATCGATCCTCATCTCCACGTTTCTACGGAGACGAATAATTGGCCCCTCAAACTTCACATGTCCACAAGAGAACTGGTCATTTCCATCCCCAAACCTGCCTTTCCCGCAGCCTTCCCATCGCTATAAACTCCAACTCTGTGTTGCCAGGCTGTTCAGGCCAAAACCCTTGGCGTCACCTTGAGGCCTCTCTCAGTCTTTCACACCCCAGATCCCAGCTCTCAGCAAATCCTATTGGCTCCATCTTCAAAGTGTTTCCAGACGTGGATTCCGCTCAGCCACCTCCACAAGCTCACTCTGCCCCCTCATCAGCATCTCTCCCGAGACTGTCCACAGTCCCTCAGCCCTTTCCTTCCCTGGCTACTGCCCACATGGCCTCACAAGTGACAGCTGAGCCAGATCATGTCAAGTCTCTGTCCAAAGCTACACAGTGTGAAAGCTGGTGCTCCCAGAAGGATTGAGAGGCTCTCCATGATCCCCCACTGCATTCTCACCCCTGTTCTCCCTCTGACCGTATCTCCTGCTACTCTCTGCTTATTCCACTCTAGACACACTGGCATCTATACTGTTCCACAATCTCACTACATGGGCCTCAGGAGCCTCAGGGCCTTTGCACTGCTATTCCTTCTTCCTGGAATGTGCTTCCTCCAGACAATCACATTCATCTTACCAGTGAGGCTTCCCAATCATGTCTAAAAACTGACAGTCCCACCCATCTCCTCCCACTGGGCTGTAAACTTCAAGAGGCAGTGACTGTGCTCTATTTTGCTCACTATGATTTTCTCGGTAACCAGAACAAAGGCTGGCCCATAGTTAGTGCTGAATGGATAAATGAGTAACCTACTATCAAACATTCACCATCTGATCAGGAAGAAGCCATATGGTAGAGGAATACCCCCAACACAAACAGATTTTAACAAGGAAGTCAGACACATATTACACGGTCACCTTGCAGCATCCAGACCAACACCTGTGACCTTCTCAGGGCTTCATATTATTAAAAACGAAACTCTACGTAAGAACCAAAGTAGCTGCTTTCTGGAGGAAACGTGCCAGACCCTGCCAAAAGGGCCTAAAGCATCATCATATGAGGAGACTGCGTGAGGAGCATCACAAACCCCTCCCCAGGGGGCGGCAGAGGCTTGCCCAGCCCACATGAGGCCCTGGGTTGGATCCCCAGCACCAAAACAAAACAACAACAACCAGGTCGCAGGTGTTTATGTGAACCCCCAATCAGACTTTGGAGACAACTAACTAGACAACTGAAGTCCCCTGCTAGATTTTTCCTTTCTTGCTACAAAAATATTTCCCACCCTCAAAAGAATGGTTCCTGGACCCTAGGGAGGAGCTGGAGGTCTGGGAGCTGAGGAAGCAGCTAGAGCCCGGAGGACATCAGTCTCCACTGACCACCTCCATTCTGCGGTCAAGCGACCAAATGCCCATAACCTGAGTCTCGTCCTCTCCTGGGCAGATGCCCAGGGCCCAGCTCCTGGTGGTGGTCTTTTCCCAGTCTGGGAGAAGACAGAGCACCCATGATGCTGTTAGGCTCCTCTCCTCTTCCCTGCACCAAGGTCCCGGGCCCTGGGGTCACCAGGAGGCAAGCTTGTGGGTGGGTGGGAGCTGCAGGGGCTCTGGGTCCCCAGACTGTTCTCCTGTATGTCTCTGTTTCACACCTTTCCTCACATACTAGGCCTTCTGGTAGGTTCAAGGTTGGGGTTGACCCCTTTAGGACTGGCCAGAAGATGGGAGAGAGGCAAAGGTCACCGCAGGCAGTGACCAGAGTGGATGGCCAGCAGGGGCTGCTACGGTCCCCACATTTGACAGCTGCTGGCCTGGAGGCCTGTTCCCAACCCTGGCTCGGCCAAGGGCTAAGTGGGAAAAGCCAGGATCTCCAGGACTCCTGCCACGAGGCTGCCCATCTTGGGACCCACCCATTCACACATTTAACGATCACCTGCTGTGTACCTAGCCCAGTGCCAGCAGGACACCCTCCCTGTCCTCCAGGAGCCCACAGTTTAGTAGGTGACACGTAATCTAATAATTATAACCATGTTTTAAAACTGCAGCGTGACGTGGGATCCAAGGAGGCACCCACAGGGCACCACTGTTCAGAACCAGCTCTGCTTCACGAGGTCAGCGGGGACTTCACAGGAGCAGCAGCAGCCAAGACCCCTACGGTTCACGTCACAAAGGAGAGGGCAACAGCGAGGCATGGGATACGGCTCCAGGAGTATTTCCAGTCCAGTCTCAAGAGACAAGACCTGACATCTCAACTTTCATCTTAAAAATCATCTTTTTCTTCATTTTGTAAGCTGAGAGATGAGAATCGTTTCCTTGGAGCACTAATGCATTGAAAGCAAAGATGGAGAACTTACGTTAACCTTAAAGGTCTGGACCAAGCCATCTAAAAAGCGTATGCTGCAGACGACTTCCGATCGGGCTTTCTCTTTGGGTAACTCCGAGGTGCGTATGTTATTAATTCTTCCACCCAACGCGCGTAACCGGGAGGTCATAACTATCGTTGAGTAACCTGTAAGGTGAAACACACGGTCAGTGAGTTCATGTGCAAATTACCAGCTACCTGTGAACACCTTAGCCTACCCAGGCCCTTCACAACTGTTGGCTTTTTTTTTTTTCCGTCTTCTTTTTGCTAACTTGAAGAATTTTATTGTTCATCTCTCTCGAGAGTCTTTCTGGGAGGAAGACAAATGTGATTTTCTGAAGCTCACCTCAGATGTGTACACTTTGGTCTACGCTGACATGGGTGATTCTCTTACCGTTCACATTGTTGAGGTATCATTTCACAGGTGATCTTTCTATTCTCTTTGGTGGTTTTCAAACTTCTTCTTCTTCTTTTTTTTTTTTTTTTTGATACAATCTTGTCTGAGAAACTCACAGGTAAAGAAAAGTGTACACAAACCAGGTTTCCACTTGCATTGATCAAGCAAAATGGACTGCTCAATTATAACCTGCTTGTAGAATTACATGGCTTATTTGTCTGTCTTATTATCTCACAGGTCTATTTCTTCTTCTAATTTCTTCTAACTTCCCAGGCTTTAGATTTCTTATTTAAGTTTTGCTGTCTTACGTTTTTGTGTAGTCTACACTCAGGTTTTACAGAAGTAAGTGTGCCCTAAATATGATTTAAAACATGAACAGGTTTACTGATAAATTGGATGGTATTAAAATGAAAGACTTGTACTTATTAAAAGGGCACACTTAGAAGAGTAAAAAGACAACCCAGAGGAGAATATAATTGCAACATACAGATTTATAAAGACTGCATTAAGTGTTCTACAACTCAGTAAGGAAAAAAAAATACTAGAAAATGGGAAGAAAACATAATCAGGTTTTCAACCACATGATTTGTGAAAGAAATGCAAAATGAAACCACAAAGCCATAGTTCCACACACCTGCCCAGAGCCTGAAGGTCACATGACCTCCTAGGAGGCTGTGGAGGGGTGGGGGGTGTCGCTCACGCACTGCTGACAGGAGCATAAATCAGAGCAACTGCTTCAAGAAACTGCTGGGCAATATCTACCACGCCGAACATATCCACATTCTGTGACAAGACAATCCCAGACCTGGTCCGTTCCCAACAGAAAAATGTACATTTATTCACAAAAAGATACATGCGAGAATCTCCATAGCAGTCCCACACTGAAAAAGTGCCTCTCTCCCACTGAAAAAGACCTAAATGGCCATCCACCATAGAACCCACCAACTGCGGTCTGGTGGTCATACCGGGCACTACCACAAAGTGAGTGACAGACATGAACTACTGCTGCCATCCACGACGAGAAAAGAATTTCTCTAATGTTACCTTGGATAATAGAAGATGGTTACAACAGGTCACATGTCGCTACACTTACATAAAGTTAAACAGGCAAAATCAAACAAGGCGGATCAAAGGCAGAGTGGCAGTCCCTCTGCTCAGAGTGCCAAAGTGCTCCCAAGGAGCCTTCTGGTGCTTTCCACAGCCTGTCTGGGTGCGCATGCTAACATGCTCCTGTTCTCACTCTGAAAATCCATCACATTCGTGATTCGGACGTTTTTCTGCATGTAAGTTTGCTATGCTTTGAATACAGTGTGTGTCCCCAGGGGCTCCACTGCGATTGAGGGGTTGGCCCCCAGGTGGCACTGCTGGGAGTTGGTGGAACTTTGGAACGTGGGGTCTGGCCGGAGGTCCCTAGATCACTGGGAGTGTGAAGTCTTTCTTATGAGACCCCTTTGGTAGCTTTCTCCAGAGGGCTGTTATTAAAGGAACAGGCCTGACACTATCGGTCCCCTCCTTCTTCTTCTGGTTTGAGATGCAACCCTTGCGGTCCCGCCACTGCCATCCCCCAGGCTGTGATGCAGCAAAGAACTGAGTCAGTGCTACCGCCACGCCCCTGAACCTCCAAAACTGAGTTAAATAAACCTTTTCTTTTCATTTGTAGCCTGTGTTGGGTATTTTAATACAGTGATGAAAAACTAGTACAACGTTATATTTAATAATAAATTTTTAAAAACAACAGCAGCCCAGTGCAGAGGGGCATGCCCTCAATCCCAGGAACAGAGAAGATGTAGATCTGACAGGATTAGGGGGAAGAGCAAACACAGATGAGGGTCTTAAGGGCAAGTAAATCCTTTCTTAATCCCCTATAAACCTCCTCTACTGAGCTGGGCCTTTGCATGTGCTGCCCCTTGTTTGAGACGCAAGTACTGTCTGCACGACTTGCTTTCTCTTCAGTTCTCATCCTGATTTCACACGTACAATTCAGTGAGTATTTAACAGTTGCTTCTCCCATTAGACACTGAGCTCCACAAAGGCAGGAATCAGGTCTGGTTTTGCTGACTGTATCTTTAACACTTAGCTCTGGGAGGCAGTCAGTCAGTATCTGAACGGATAGAAAATGAAATGAAGAATCAAACAGAAAACAAAGCCACGATTTCCAGTCTGGAACAAGAGCGGTACAACCAAGAGACAAACGTGGATGGGAGGGAGCAGGAGACAGGATGGGATGAGAGAGGGTGGAGGGGAGATGCCCCACGGACCAGTGTGTCCCAGTGCAACGTGCACACAGAGGTCCTTGGGAACTGATGAGAATGCAGACTCGGGGGTGCCAGCAGTCCCTCAGTCTCCCAGGTGATGCCCAAGATACGCATCCAGCGTTTGCCCTAAAAGGAGCAAGTCCAAGATAAATGGAAAATCAGCACTAAATGTCAGGGCAGAGACTGAGGTTTGGGAAACTAGCAAAGGTTGTTAAACTAACTCGGCTCTGGACAAAGCAGAGTGCGGACCTGAGAATGAGGCTTCAGAGACCTACAGATACATCCTGGTGCAGAAAGAGAAAATTCAAAGAATGTGACAACTGTGTAGAAGGTACATGCAGGAAGACAAGGTCTCTTATCAACGTATTTGAGAAGCTCCAGGTAAACCAACATTCTTCTGTAGACAGTGACAGGAAATCTCGAATATTAATAAAAAAAATAATTCCTGGGACCGGCAGTGCAGAGAAACATATTCAATCACTTATAAAATTCCACCCACCCCAACACCTCCACCTTGCCCTTTTCATTGAAAATGTCATCAGAAGCAGGGATGCATGTTCTGAGTAATACAAAAAGTTACCAAAAGACAACAAATGTGTTCCATAATGCTTTAACCCACATTGAATTTAAAATGTCAGTTTTGTTGCTTAGCTCTTGTCTAAGAATCTCAGGTGGGTTACAATAATAAAAAAATAAAATAAAATAAAAGATACAATAGAATCATTCCAAGTGTGGTTTTGGTGGGAGGTGCACATCAGCATGGGGGGGGGGGGCTTTCAAAAATGACTCCTGTCCTGGCCCCGCCCCAGGGTGATTCAGCACGCTGGGGTGTGGCACACAATGGCATTCCCTTTGGGAGGCCCTCCAACAAAGGGCCAGGCAGTGGAGAGACAGTGTCTGGACGGCTGGGCTGGGAACAGAGGCTGGGTGGAATCTAGGCCACTCACCGTGGGGCCTGTGAAGAAGCTGGGGGGCAGTTCTGCAGAGCAGCACCTTAAGCAGAGCTGATCACACAGTGGCCGGGACAAGAAACCTACAGTGACTTCAAACAGGAGCTTGCAATGAAAGTCACGTGGGCAAGGACTTGCAAACTGCTCCTCACAGTGATGCCAGCATGGGATCCCGACCCCAACCTGTGGCACCTGTGAATTTAACCACTGCTAAGGATGGCTCCCAGCATGGCCACTCAGCCAGTGGACCAAATAAACCAGAGGAGACAGGGTTTTCCCTCCCTGTATCCACTTCTGACTGTCACACAAAGGGCTTGGAACCATAGAAAGGTATTTTATGAAAGTTGCAAAAATGTTCTTCCTACAATTGTTCCTAAAGGGAACCTTGACAAGAGTGTGCTTGATGTTGAACGACCACATAATCGAGCCACGTGATGTTTTCAGATTGTCTTGAAAGTGTATCTTAAACACTCTAATGGGGACAATAAATGCTAATTGTCCTGTTTCCTGTACCACGGCAATTGGGGAACTCAGGGTTTCTATGGCTTCCTTTATGAGCCTCTTAATTCTCAACAAAGCCACAACTCAAACAGGAACACACTGGCCTCTGTGACCACAAATGATCACAGCCACAGCTGAAGCCACTTAGAACATGGACGCCAAGCCTATTCTTTGCATAATTAAAAAAAAAAAATCAAACAGTTAAGTTTTAGAATGCTTCACACACTAGCCAGTAAAGGTTGTTCTGTGAACACAGTTTTCAGTGAAAACACAATAGGAAGAGGCAACATCTCACTGTGCACACAGCAGGGGCTCACTAAATACCTGAAGTCAGATATAGCTTATGTAAAGCACCTGCCCAATGTGGAACACATACTGTGTACTCAATAAAAGACATTTTATTTATATTAAGCTTCTGATGCTACCAGGTGCTGACTACAGATCCCAGATTTTGTAGGGCTATCTTGATGTCGAATACCTTATAGAAGTATAAATGTTTCATTCCTTAAAATTTTATTCCTTTAAATAAAGTGCTTACTAGAGCTAAAGGCAGAATTTTTAGATGTGTGATACACCCTTGAGCTGCTCTACAAACTCAAAGGAACCAGATGCAAGGGCACCTTGGCACAAATCGCCACACCCCGGGCACGAGGGACACCAGGGCCCTGGTGGGAGGGTTGGATAACCTGGCTCCCACTACTGTCCCTCTCCGGCTGCCCTCAGCCTTGGAGGAGAGGTTATGGCGCTGCTTTGTTTCTTAAGGGTCTGTCTCCATGCTGATCTGCAGAACTCAGTTCTTTCAGAAGTCAATGAACCACAGACTGAAAGAAGGACGAGCAGCTCACACCAGTGAGACAGCCAATCCAACTCTATTTGAATCATTTTAAAAGGAAATGCAAATTATCCCCCACCCTTGTTTTTAAAAATATGCTTAGGTCTCTAACTCAAGAATGTAAGTTTCGGTTTAAAAAATAAAGAAGAAAGTAGTCTTGACTCATAAACACCTAATTTGTGAGAATCTTGGGGTGGCTTGCTCCAGGAACC